AAACATATGTTGAGAGTATATAGCAAACTGCGAGAGGAAGGAACAGTACATGGTAAAGTAACGATATTGACAATAACTGGACAGTCATCTTTCGATATTTTCGCCATTGAATTGGCTACTGAGTCGTATGTGGCAAATCCTTGTGAATTATAAAGACATGCGCTTAAAAAGTATGTGAGGTCGTAGACTTTTCACATTGTGGAAAGAACTTCAGGATGATGGTGATCGGATAGGATAATGAACAAAGAACCATCTCTTCCGCGTTGACACCCATCTCTCGTGAAAGATCAGAATGTGTCTTTCGACGGTTGCTCATGCGAAGAGCATCGTGTGTGTAAGAAATAATCCCCATCCAAGCAATTGCCAGATTTCACAAAACACACAGAGATCTGTCTACCCATACACCATCATTGTAACAGAAATAGATCGTCCATGGATATGTTGCCACTTCAATAATGAGATTCACGATCAGAATGGCGAAGTGTTCAACTAAAACGAAGGATGTAAAGAACAAACATCAGGCAGAACAACGAAGAATTGACCAGAACCAAACGGCATTGGATACCATTTTTTGTAGTTATGAGAGTGTTTTTCTCGTGTTGAAACCGTAGTTCATGCAAATTAATGTACCGAGGAGAAAATCTCGTTTTCTACATCGTTTAATTAATTTTATCAAAGCTTTGATTATCATAGTCTTCGACAATTCCACAAATAGAATAAGAACGACGCATTAATTAAAAGGGTCCAAATGATTTGGGTCATCGAAATAAAAATCTAACGTCTCATTTCACATATTTTGTTGATAATTACATGAATCTCTGTTAGAATCTATTTTTTATAACGAAAAAAAAATGTTTACAACGGTTTAGCTTCGAATTTCAATTGGCGCCAATTGAAAGTTCCGCTTCTATCTTCGGTAAATTGTTCGTATTTATCATCGACAATTTTCCAGTCTTCCGATACTCGAATCGGCTGCCCATTCCATGGTTGTTTAATACCTGACCAGCGTCTTCTACATTTATTGAATGCACATGCTTTCGTTTCAACATACATTGAACACATGGGACACTTCGTTGTTGTTTCATCGGACTCACTAACAACGTCGAATTCTCGCATTCCAAGACAGATGATTACATTACCTTGGTTGTAAGCTTCACAAAGCTGATTACTACATGGACCCTCTAAGCATATTCCCGGCGCTATTTGTTTCCATCGAGGAATTCCACGATAGTACTGTTCAGCCAGAAGATGCTTCAACTCGCTAAAAGTTGGCCTATCAGTTGGTGATTGTGCCCACGTTTTCACAATAATAGACCAGTAAGGTTGACTGCAGTTGGATGGCTGCGGCAGACGATCACCTTGTATCACTCGTCTCACGATATCATTGTCGTTTTCTATATCAGCCCACGGCATCAAACATCGTGTATATGCTTCACACATTAATACACCCATCGAGTATACATCTGATTTTTCTGTATAATTCGTTGAATTGGCACTATCCAATAAGACTTCGGGTGCAGCATATCGAACAGGAACGATATTTAGTGTTGTAAATGCACTACTAGAAACCATAGAGTACAGTGCACTGTGACGGCTAAGGCCAAAATCAGTAATTTTCACAATATTCTTCTCCGGATGACAACGATCAAAACGAAATACGAGTACGTTTCGACATGCTAAATCGCCATGTACGACATTGTTTGACGCTAAATAGATCATCGCTTCGATGATCTGTAGAAACATATGAATAAGAACTTTTTCGTCAAGAGCTTCGCGTTCGTTCTGTAATAGTTCATACAAACTGCCCAACGATGCAAATTCTTGAAGTAGAAGAACTGATCGATTCTGTTCGGCCCTATCTCGATCATGCACAAAACCGAATGTTCGGACGATATGCGGATGACGAGTGAGTTCAACATAGAACGATGCTTCTTTTCTTGCTCGCGCACCATCAATTTGCATAAGAACGACATTCGGACGGTTTTCATTATTTGGTAGCCATTCAGCATAATAAATCGCTTTTCCATACACTCGAAACAATGGTCCACCTGGCTTCTTTCTTACGTCGACATTGAGCGTGAATTGGTACTGCTTATTTTGTGTTAGTGTTTCAAATGAATCGACTATTTGATTAAGTATATGATTTGGGTAAAGATGTTTGATTGATAATGNGCCCATGCAAAAAGTATCGTATGTGTGAGAAATAATCCCCAGTCAATAAAAGTCCATATTTCACAGAAGATCATCGGTCTTCCTTCCCACACACCATCATTGTAATAGAAGTAGATCATCCATGGATATGTTGTTAGTTCAGTGATGAGATTGATGATGAGAATGGTGATAATGATATGATTATTGAGGGCATGACGAAGTGTTCGATCAAAAAGAAGGTTATAGAGAACAAACATCAGGCGGAAGAATGAAAGAATGAGCGAGAGAAGTATTGCCAGAACCAAACTGCATTGGATATCATATTTTTGTAGGTATGAGAGTGTTGTGTTGTTCTTGTGTTGAAATGTGAGAGTAAGTATGAAGAGAAAAGTTTTATCTGATTTTTCACATAGTTGCAGCATATATGTCAACGGTCTGTTCTTTGATTTGGTTTTCAATGCCGCGAATAATAGAATGATACGGCCGTGATTCAAGATAATTGCAGGTTCTGGATAGATAAGCCAGAAATAGGCCCATTAAAAAGATTACATTTGCATAGTTACTCTAGACAATGATTTTAATGATAAGGTAAAAAGAATGGCGCCCGATCTAGAAGACGTGAATGAAAGTAGGATAGAAAGAAAAACAGTTACATTCTCGAACTCTACCGATCTATTTGACGTGTAAGGCAACGAGTAAAGAAGCAAAGTGCAAGAAGTATTTTTTCCAGCGAATTAGGTCATATTGCGCTTCAAATTCATTGGTATGAGATATTTAGCTTAAGAATGGCGGCTGTATCCTCGAAAGTGACATCTGCACCCTTACACTTACACTGGCTCTTAAATCTGAGTTGAGTAGTTTTGTATGTTGATCTTTCATAAATACACAGCTTGTTCTTCTCTTTATAAGCGATATAGAATAATTGAAAGGATGATAAATTGATCATCATTAACTTGCCAAAGTAGTCTTGTTTGGTGTTATTTTTAATTTTTCCAATCTCTGTCTTCACGCGTGGCGATTGGTCTTTTTTCAAAGACTTGAGCTCCTGTTCGTTGGTTAACTGGCATAGTTCGCTCTCATGAATCCCGAAAGGCTTTTTTTATTCTATGCTAAATTTGGTTTGTACAATATATTCTGCTCAAATTATCAGATTGTCATGAAAGAAGATTAGACACGGTTTATGATTGTCTGTTTCATTGAAGAATAGCCGCTCGAACGAGTAAAATCAATAATTAATCGTTGAATTCAGTCATTGATACTACTAAAAGAGAACTTATTTGGTGAACTTGGGTTGATATGATTCTTTCCGAAAATTTTATCGATTTTTATCATTTCAGTATTCGATCCACACAATGAAGAGATGATGCGAAATGTAGTTCTCTCAATTAATTCTAGATATGAAGTGTAGGAATTCGATGAAAACTAGTTTTGTGTCACCTAACATTGGAATCAAACAATGACTATTCATCGTTGATATATTAATAGCTATTGCTCATAGGTTCAACAGAGATGAATTGGTCATTATGTATTACGTCCATATATAAAAATTGACACATGTTTGAAAATTTTTACGGCGTTTCACTCGTCAACTCCAAACGCTTTACAATAGATTAAGATAGGGTAGGGCGAATGTAGGTGTCAGTGATAGTAAGAATATGACGCACTGTCAGAATGTTGGACTTCATACATATTCTTATCACAGCTATTCTCTAGATTGTACCTCATCTTTATAACGTATAGGTTCAAGAATATTCATTTAACAGAAAGCACGGCTTACGACCAAAATATTTCGTCTGAGAATAAAAAGCCAAGGATCTTCTCGGTTGTATGGTATAATGCGCAATGACACATTCAGTGAGTCAAACTTTCTCAATTTCCATATTCAATACTTCAGTACAAACACATCGAAAACAGAACTTCGATGAGTTTATCTCGTAGTTCCGGTACGGAAACAACACAAACAAAAGGAAAAAGTGGCAACAAAAGAAAAGAACTGAGAAACATATGTTGAGAGTATATAGCAAACTGTGAGAGGAAGGAACAGTACCAGGTAAAGTAACGATATTGACAATAACTGGACAGTCATCTTTCGAAATTTTCGCCATTGAATTGGCTACTGAGTCGTATGTGGCAAATCCTTGTGAATTAAAAAGATATGCGCTTAAAAAGTATGTGAGGTCGTAAACTTTTCACATTGTGGAAAGAACTTTAGGATGATGGTGATCGGAAGATAATGAACAAAGAACCATCTCTTCCGCGTTGACACCCATCTCTCGTGAAAGATCAGAATGTGTATTTCGACGGTTTTCCATGCGAAGAACATCGTGTGTGTAAGAAACAATCTCCATCCAAGAAATTGCCAGATTTCACAAAAAAACAGAGATCTGTCTTCCCATACATCATCATTGTAACAGAAATAGATCGTCCATGGATATGTTGCCACTTGAATGACGAGATTCACGATCAGAATGGCGAAGTGTTCAACTAAAACGAATGATGTAAAGAACAAACATCAGACAGAAGAATGAAGAAGTGACCAGATCCAAATTCCATTGGATATCATTTTTCGTAGTTATGAGAGTGTTTGTCTCGTGTTGAAACCGTAGTTCATGCAAATTAATGTACCGAAGAGAAAATCTCGTTTTCTACATCGTTTAATTAATTTGATCAAAGCTTTGATTGTCATAGTCTCCGACAATTCCACAAATAGAATAAGAACGGCGCAATAATTAAAACGGTCCAAATGATTTAGGTCATCGAAATAAAAATCTAACGTTTCATTTCACATATTTTGTTGATAATTACATGAATCTCTGTTAGAATCTATTTTTTATAACGAAAAAAAATGTTTACAACGGTTTAGCTTCGAATTTCAATTGGCGCCAATTGAAAGTTCCGCTTCTATCTTCGGTAAATCGTTCATATTCATCATCGACAATTTTCCAGTCTTCCGATACTCGAATCGGCTGCCCATTCCATGGTTGTTTAATACCTGACCAGCGTCTTCTGCATTTATTGAAGGCACATGCTTTCGTTTCAACATACATTGAACACATGGGACACTTCGTTGTGGTTTCATCAGACTCACCAACAACGTCGAATTCTCGCATTCCAAGACAGATGATTACATTACCTTGGTTGTAAGCTTCACAAAGCTGATTACTACATGGGCCCTCTAAGCATATACCCGGCGCTATTTGTTTCCATCGAGGAATTCCACGATAGTACTGTTCAGCTAGAAGATGCTTCAACTCGCTAAAAGTTGGCCTATCAGTTGGTGATTGTGCCCACGTTTTCACAATAATAGACCAGTAAGGTTGACTGCAGCTGGATGGCTGCGGCAGGCGATCTCCTTGTATCACTCGTCTCACGATATCATTGTCGTTTTCTATATCAGCCCACGGCATCAAAAATCGTGTATATGCTTCCCACATTAATACACCCATCGAGTATACATCTGATTTTTCCGTATAATTCGTTGAATTGGCACTATCCAATAAGACTTCGGGTGCAGCATATCGAACAGGAACGATATTTAGTGTTGTACATGCACTACTAGAAACCATAGAGTACAATGCACTGTGACGGCTAAGACCAAAATCAGTAATTTTCACAATATTCTTCTCCAGATGACAACGATCAAAACGAAATACGAGTACGTTTCGACATGCTAAATCGCCATGAACGACATTGTTTGACGCTAAATAGATCATCGCTTCGACAATCTGTAGAAACATATGAATAAGAACTTTTTCGTCAAGAGCTTCGCGTTCGTTCTGTAATAGTTCATACAAACTGCCCGACGATGCAAATTCTTGAAGTAGAAGAACCGATCGATTCTGTTCGACACTATCTCGATCATGCACAAAACCGAATGTTCGGACGATATGCGGATGACGAGTGAGTTTAACATAGAACGATGCTTCTTTTCTTGCTCGCGCACCATCAATTTGCATAAGAACGACATTCGGACGGTTTTCATTGTTCGGTAGCCATTCAGCATAATAAATCGCTTTTCCATACACACGAAATAATGGTCCACCTGGCTTCTTTCTGACGTCGACATTGAGCGTGAATTGGTACTGCTTATTTTGTGTTAATGTTTCAAATGAATCGACTATTTGCTTAACTATACGATTTGGGTAAAGACGTCCGATTGATAATGGTTCTCCTGTTAGAGGACTTCTCCCATGTTGTCGAATCCATGTTTCAATAGCTTGTCTCTCATATGTATAACTGTCTTCGGCCAATACTGGATCGTGAAAAAATACAGCTGATATCGGACATACGAGAATGTTTCGTAAGGCATCGCTATTGGCCATTGCTACCTATTTGACGGATTTCTTCTATAAAAAAACTTATAAAATCAGACTTCTTGGCGTGAAGTGTTTTTTTACCTGTCTGATGTGTAAGGATCAGTATCTAACACGACATCTACACAGTTGGAAGTTTTATTTTCCTAGTTTTGTAAAAGAATTCAACGAATTTATTTTCCTTATAATTTTTTAAAAGTTGACTGAATCTTGTTGGTAAAGAAAGGAAACTTTCCATTTTGACATATATGAATTGATTTGTTAGACAGTTTAACAAATCTGTAGAGTAATGTATCGATAAAATACAAATAGATCCTCGAATTGTATAGTTTTAGGTGATTTAGAGTTTCGATTCGAAAAAAAAACTCTTTTACAAAATGAAATATTTTATTTACCTTGCAATCGATTGGCAGTCACAGTGACTATTGATAGATGAAAACAAAGAATGAAACTATGATGGCGCTGCATGTTTTTTTTCTTTCTTTTATACTACACATTCAAGTCAGAAACGGTGAAAATGACTCATTTATGGTGATAGTCAAAGAGACGCATATAAATTCACATAGAATTTACGTCATGCTATATTTAATATGTTAAAAGCATGCAAGAGTATACTGCATTATGATTTCAAGTAGATCTTTTCTTTTCTACATTCTCGCCGCCACTCACATCCAATCAAAGATCGTCTGTTTGTCTTACAAGTTTAGAAAAACAAACTTGTGGTCAAACGGGTGTGTCGATATTTGGTTTAATTAAACAGATTAACAAGATGAAGAACTAGTTGATGGATTTTATTATTTAAACAGATATCGATGCTATCTCAAATATTTTATTCAAATTCAATGGTTTGTTGATCGATGAGCAGAGGAAAATGAAGTTTTTTCGAACAAAAACGTTAATGCAATATGTGTTTATTTCTCTTTCTCTATAAAACCGATCTTCTTTCAAAGAGTAGCAGTATAAGAACAAATGCTCGGTTCATCGATCAACATTTGAGAGCAGTAAAAATTAGCCAGGATCTGATGATCCACTAAATTTTGATGGTACAAATTTGGAAGAAAGTAACTTTACTAGATCACATCTATGTGATGTTGCTTTTGATCGAACCAATTTCTTTTCGGCAATTATTCTGATATTGATTTTTGTTTGATTCCACTGGATATCTCATCATACAATGTCAAACATGTTCGAATCTTGAGAGTGTGTAAGGGTAGATTCATGTTACACGTCTTGACCCAAACACCAGGTTTTTTCCAACTTCGTTAAAATAAAATAGATAAATAGAGAGATAAGAACTGCATTTTTGTTTCTATTTAAATACTCGTGCATGATAGTAACACATTCTTATTCGAGACCATTCTTCCTAGAGTTAGCAAACTTCTTTTAAAAAGTCATGCCGCATTGCCATACGTGTCAAGATAATTGCTACGGCCCTGAGCTACTCTCATATCAAGGAAAGGTTCGTTTCTCTATGTTGATTTTCTGTTTTTTGTGGATGTCTACCGTTAAAAGAGAGATCCATAAAACGCGAAGATGTGACTGTGAATAACGAAAGACATTCATATCGTTTTCGTCCTTCCTGGAATCTAATTCATTTAAAGTTTAATTAACTAGGCTTATCATAAGCGATGCTTCAAGTGCACCGCATGCAGTAAGACGTTAACTATATCCAATGTTCGTGGTTTTAATAAATTACCTTATTGTTACCAGTAAACCGTCGTCTATACTGATTTCAAGATGATTATATTCTACGTTATTTTCAGGCATTCACCCGACATGAAAGCATCCCCTGTAATCCTACAAAATGACGATAGCTATGATTATGGAATTCAAGAAGTCGATTCGGGAGCCATTAGTGTTAATCATAATTTGGTAAGCTCTGTTCTTGAGGGTGATGGTGAGAGTAATGGTTAGAACGAAGAAATTTGAAGCACGTTGATATTTCTATGTTCTACTGCTCTAGTGATGATACCTACGGATTTTTATCATTTTAGTATTCTTCAAGCAATGGGCTCTTGGTAGGCGCGTCTGTGGCAACGAGAACTCCATTGTTACCATCTACGGTCGTTCTAGATAATCAGCTGGAAAGTTGTGTGCGTATTCGAAGTACTTTAGTAGACCTAAGGAATAATGTGAGACAACATTCTGATGAGGAGAATTCTCCGATATCAACTTTTTATGATATTGGAATCGATGTCGTTGACGCCAATGAAGGCATAATTGAAACAATGAAACATGGTGCTCAATTACAAAGAACTATTAGGTGAGCATTTTCAATTTATACCAGCTCAAGCATCGAGAGCAGTATCGTGAGCATGTTAGTTAGCGATAAGCAACTCTATCGCCTTGAAGCATATGTTTTGAGAGTGATTTTAAGTCTTACATTGACAAGTATTTTCAAATACTTTAGTGGAAAACTGAATCCTGAAGAACAGAGTCAACTGGCTGGCAATATGAATGGAATGTGTAATGGATTGGCTAAGACGCATGTTGCTTTGAAAAAAGCTGCTCACAGAGTGTTTAGTAGTATCGGCGAAAACATGAAAAAGGACGCTACTTTGAACAGTGATTCTATTGCTGCACAATCTTTACACGAACTTCAATGCAGTAATAGTACTCTTCAAAGTCTTCCAATCACGCCAACTGCAATACCAAGTGTTATAAATACGCTCGTATCGATGAACTCACAATTGTCTACAATTGAAAGTCGAATCGATAGCTACGAGCAAAATTCATCCACACGTCAAGATGTACCCTCTCATAATCCACCAACCGATGGTTCCTCTCCATCTGAGGATGGCATTCGACATGATAATAGTGGGCCATCGTCTTATACATCCTCTGAAAGCACTAAAAGGCAGATTCGGTGGTATAGAAACACTATACAAATATTCATTAAATTGATAAAAACTATGCAAGCAATTTTTCGTAGGCAATGATGCTTATGTTTGTATCTGACTGATTTATACTTATACATACCGGTGATAACTGAAATGTAATTTTTTATGAGATTATTTTGCAATAAAATAACTAACTTCATTTTCAATGGAAATATATGGGCTCCAGGCTCAGTACCCTTTGCTAATGCCGTTTTGTCATCAAATCCTAGGGGTATCGATGTACAAGTTACCTTCAATTAGATTCAGTCACAGATACAATATTTGCAACTAAACCCTCCCCCTGACAGAAGCGCCAATATTACAAGTGAAAGACCAAATGAAAAGAAAAACAGTACTAGTTGATATTCTTCAGACCTTTTACTCGTTCTGATTTTTTAAAATCATTTGAAGTACAAAACGATGTCAAATATATCATTCGCAGATTGTCAAGGTATCAATAAACTGCTTGATTTGCTCGAATTGCACCATTCGAAGCATCTTTTTGTCTGAGAAAAAGAGCGGAAGAAGTTCGAACAGAGAAATTATTTACACTTACATCAACGCCTGCCGCTTCGCTTCCATTGTACGAATCCATTCTGCATCTGCTTGTTCACTTGATTGGGCTGATTCTATCGCTCTCGTTAAATAGTCTATAGAGCCTCTATAATCTTTAAAAACTTTGTATATGATAGATAACTTGTAATATTCTTCAGCAATAACTACGTAATCAGTAGGTGTATATTTCATTAGTATATGTAAAACTGATTGATGTGCATGAATGGCTGTTGGAACGTGCGCACTCAGTATAGCACATGTTGCCAAGATTTTATACAGTTCCATAAAGATCCAATGATCTTTATTTTGCGGCAAGAGGATTTCCAACTTACTGATCGCTAATGTTTCAATGAGACGGGCAAGATCGTAGTCTTTTCGTTGATAATTGAGCACGGCTATCGCGTGATACTCATATGCATCCAAAAATTCTCGTGCAGGTAAATTGGCGATTTCTTGTCGAAATTGATTGGGAATCGTTGCCAATACTCTCTGAAATACTTGATTTTCAATCGGATAAACCGGTGCTGACGAAGACGATCGAAGCTGTTCTGAATTATTACTGATACATGAACCCATTCTTTGATAAATTCATTAGAGAACTATTGTTGATTATATACCTGACTTATTATCTATACTTACCAGTGACGTAAAAGATGTAGACTGAATCATAGATATGACTCATGAGATAAAGAAAAAAAACTTCGAACATGTGAGAAACGATGTGACAACGTCTTTCTACCATATATGCACTTTGAAATTGGTAACCAACTTGAAATTCCAGAGATTTCACAGGCACTCTTTTAGAATGTGCATCCAATCCTAATAAAGGCCATGCAGAGTTAATCTTCATTATATTTGATTAAACTAATCTATCTGATATCTTAAGAAAGCTAATCACTCTCATTTCAGAAAATGATCATGGGCAGTCATCACCAGTCGTTATTTTCAAAATAAAGTTCAAATAGTTAAAAATATGCCGCAGGAAATGAACTTCAAGGAAAATTATGTCATTAGACTCTTCATTTAACCAGATGTTTCATCCGATATTTCTTAAATTCCATTACCGCGATTAGTTCGCCTAACCATATTGACAACATTTGATATTCCCTCGTCACTCTGTACATTTTATTTTTCATTTCATATATTTCAAAATCGATTTCTACGCGAATCGTTCCATAGTCATGCGGCTATTCTTCTATTATTGCCCGTTCTATCAACTCAGTTGATCGATATACCTTTTCATATTATTTATCTCGGTTTGAATTATGTTTGGCCAGCTAATCCAAATTTTTGTTATTTATTTCTGTTGGCATATTCGATTCTACTGATCTTCTTCTGGGATACGCTGTCATTGAAAGACACATACTTGTTTCTCATTATCAATGGTTACGAACGATGAAAAACAGATTATTTCTTCATTATTTCTCTTTATTTCCTGTAATCACATATTCATTCATATTTCCTCCGTGTCAAATAAATTTTGATTACATTTAACCCTAGTGTTCGCATCCATGTTATTATGATAATTATACATTATCATTGTATGACTCGATTGTGAATGTCATTATACCTGCGTTTAGTATTTTGGTTTTCAACATTATATTCATAATGCGGTTTATTTGTCAATGAAATCGTCTCAATTTACGGAATCAATGGAAAAACTATCGTAGAATGGTTGTACAATTAATCAGTATATCATCATTAATGATAAAATTAAATTTATCATTGACGTTTCTCCTATTGGCACATCTATACGGTGTCTCATCAGATGTCGGACTGGTTTTCAGTCAATACGGGTATTTTGTTACTTGTTTCATTCCATTATTAATGCTATTTATTTGTCTGACATCATTACCAGAGACTTTTCTAAAATTAGTTAAATTGATTCGTCATCAATCGAATAGAATTCAACCATAAATAGTTTGTGGTTCGAATGATATGTTAATCACCGATGAGAACGTGGTCTGTATTTCCGCAGCGAGTCTTTGAATGTCTTCATGTACAAATCAGAAGGAAGTACAAATACAATGAAAATAAGCATTGATGGAGTAAATGAAATGAAATAAGCACAAAGATATAATGAAGGATTATTCGATGCATCTATACATCCGGATATCAACGAAATGATCAGACGAGGTAATGATAAAACTAGAAGAATCAACGGACTGACGATCAGTTGTTTGTGCTCGTTGATTTGTTTAAGGACGAGTTCTTGAAATGTTTGTTTGGTTTGAATTGTTGATCTTCGACGAGCATTTCCAAAAATAATATACAAAGTAGAACAAAGATTAGCGAGAAATGGAACAATCAGATGAAGAAACAGAATAGTTGTATTGTAATTCTGTACGAAACTTGGATAAGTTACAACACATAAGACATATTTTTCTGTTTCGTATCTTATGGTTTCGTTTGTTTGATTTCGATTCTCATCCGATCCGTAGATCTCATTAGTGTATTCAAATAAATGTCGATGCATAGGTTCATGAATGATAGTGGCCACGATGAAAATTGGTAGGATCTTAACGATCCATCGAGCAGCACGTCTACTTTTCTTTTTATCGAATTGAACGCCTTTGTAAACATTAACCGCCCGTTCAATAGCGACACAACTGTTGAGCCAAGTGTCGAGATACACGAGAATTTTTAGAAATGGTTCGAGAAAAATACAAACATCTCGAAAGACAGGCGCATTCACAGAAACATTTATATGATTGTATAGAACAAACCAGAATTTGAACGTAAATACCGAAATAGTAAAGAGAGAAGTTACCGATGATGCTAATAGATATATTCCACAGCCAGTCTTTCGTAATTCGACGTTTCGAAATGTTAACAAAGAGAGAAGACCATTAATCATACCTCCGACAAACATAACCATCGTGACAATGGCACTCATTTTCACGACAAATGATTGATCACTAAATATTGTCGTTTGTTGAATTTCATTACGTAAGATATCGTCGATTGTCATGCCTATACCCTTTGTATAAGAATGACAGCGATCACCAATGACACAGCTGCTTTGACTATTCACTGAAAAGACACAGTTTTTGCCCATGTTATAGTGCAAAGACTCTTACCGAGACGAGTAAGATTCACATTCTTCGTACCACATGCAACAATCATGAATTCTCCCTGTTGATTTGGTTCAAATGTTGTCACAAGTAGAATATACGTTGTATTAATTTCAAGATGAGCGGTAAAATGAAATAGTCGATATCCATCGCAACTTCGATTACTATGGGTTAGTTCGTTTTCTGTTGGATTGAGTGAATTAAAACTATCTTTATGGAGCTGACCATATAACATAAGGCTACTATTCGCTCCGAAATTATAAGTACCACTCTCTTCTACATTCACTTCTATAGTCTCATAATGATAATTTCCTTTTCCACATACTCGAGGATATGTTGGAGTATCTTCTGTCAGTACCGATGTGTACGTTGATTGCACCACTATCGAATATAAGAGAGGTGTCATTGATCATTTCTACGGAAAACTAGAGATATACTTACAAATACGCTTGAAAGTAACTTTTTTTGGTCCAGTTACCAACACCGAAAAACGTATCTCTAACCCTTTGTGTAATGTCGTCACAACTAATATATATTTGTTATTCGCGAGAAGACGAGTTACAAATTGCGGTTCATTATAACATTCATATTTTTCGTTATGTAACTCGATTAAGTTTAGTTTAGGATTAAATACATCGAAATTATTTTCGTAAAGGGAACCTTCTGGATATCCAACACTTTGACTAGTAATAGTATAATCGCCCGTTTCTATTACATGTAGTTCCAAAGCTTCAAAGTAATGATTTAAGAATCCGCATCCAGTAGGTGAATATATTAAACTATTTCCAGTCAGTTCTGATAAATATTTCGATTGAACGACCAATGGAATGTTGTCTTAATAGAAGATAGAGCATGAATACTCTTCATGGTCACTTTATTAACTATCGACATGCAAATGACCGATACTCACCGATGCGATTAAAACTGACATTGTTTGGCCCGAATACGAACACTGAAAATGTTCCCTCATCATCCTGAAACTGTGTTGCTACAACGAATACATATTTCGTATCCATCACAAGACGAGTTACAATGTGAGATTGAAAATCACAAACATCATAAATATGATTTTCTGCGATAAGTTGTGTTTTTAGGTTAAATGGATTGAAACTGTCTTCGTAGAGATAGACGTACATACCAACAGAACTATCCCCAATGATTGTGTAAACACCCGTCTCAGTTACAGTGAATTTAACAGCTTCAAAATGAGAGTCCAACTGCCCACAAGCAGTGCGTGTAAACATCGGACTTTTAGTATCAAGTTCTGATGAATATACTGAAGTTATGTTCAACGATGTATCTAATCATTAAACAAGGGAAAAGAGAGAATTTCATTTGCTTTTATGGATTCAAAAGATTAGAAAAATGTTCTATTAATCTATGATGACACTCACCAGCACGAGTAAGGCGCACATTGTTAGGACCGAAAACATGTACTGATAATGGTTCTAACATTTGTAAATCAGCTGTAACAATGGCCAGCACATATGTTATATTGGTCTGAAGATAAATAGGCATTTGGAATTGATTCAAATCACACGACCCACGCAGTTTAAAGAGTGCATTTTCAGATAAATCTCTCGGATTCACATAATCTTTGTGAAGATAACCAAATACATCATCATCACTATCTATACTAAATCTGTACAAACCCACTGTAAAGATTTGCACATATATTTGTATTCGCAGTTTGCTATCTTCTGGCATTGAGATATGATCGAAATCTGAGGATGACTCGTCACAATGATCTATATATGTGGGACCATTAGTAGCTCGAAGTGACAAAGATGTTAACATAGTATCGCGTGGAACTTTAAAATTTAATACAAGGTTGGATATGGTTACAAATGGTTACTATCAACAAACCTGCTGTGATATTTTTAGTTGTTCGGATCACTGTTTCGTTTGGTGTAAAATCTATAATGTAACATAAAAATAGCAAATCTGACCAAGAACACGACAGATATCGAAAGAAAGTCATGCAAAAAAACTTAATATTGCTCATACTTACTACATGTATTGTTTGATAAGAGAAATTTCTGGATTCGCTCATTATGCGAATCAATAACATATATGTTACCGTAGTTATCAAAGGCCATACTTTTCGGATTTGCGAGTTGATCGGATGCTTCGCCATATACTTGACTACATCCTACTAAACATCGGAACCCATACTGACCAGATACAACAATACGACGATTGTCGGTATCGACAACATAGATATTATTATTAGCATCCAACGTTACGCTTGATGGATGAGTTAGATCAATTGTGTCTGATCGTCCAACGACTGTAGTTCCGTTGAATTCTCCTGAACGGAATAATTGAATTCGATGATTTGATCTATCAGCTACATATAGATCAAAATTACTGTTCACGAATATTCCTTGAGGATAGTGAAGCATATTTGATATTGATCCTTCGATACCGATACCTGCAACAATATCGATCGTGGATGAATTCTCATATAATGCTTTTGTTGCAATTTGATGTCGATCTTCCATGGAACAATAAAGTACATTGTTGATAGCGATAAATATATCGAAACATCGTTCGCAAAAATGCACGATGGGTACAGTATCAAATGTATTTGGATTCCATTTAGTTATTCGAGCATTTGAATAACCAGTCATGAAATAGAAATTGTCAGGTGATGTAATAAAGAGATCTAAAGGTCCGATCAAATTATGGAAATTTCTTCTACTTATATTAACACTGTCTTCATTCCATTGGTAAATATAATCTTTGTTAAATGCGATGGCGTAGATCGTATTATCTCTATCGATAAAAATAGTTTCTGGGCTCCAACCATGTGTTACTTCACTGACTAATGTAATTCCCGAAGCATTCCATTGGGCACATGGTGATAGTTCTGGTTGGTTGTACGATATTTCTACAGAAACAGAGTCGGGTTCTGAGCAAATACTCGTTCAACTTTCATTTCTTTTAAGACTCTAAATTACCTGAGTGTACAAGTTTAACTGCATGTTCTGCTAATTGATAGTCAAAGATCAAAACATAGAACCATAATTGAAGCATCGTAATCGCTATCATCGTATTGGGAGTTGTGCCACTTTATTATATTTTAGTTAGAATGCCAAATGCGTCTAAAATAATATCGTTTTATGTATCGTTTGCTTTAATTAATAGGAAAATTGATCCAACGTGAATAAATAGATATTTGATAAGGCATGATGTATGAACATTATTGACATTTTGTGTAAAAACAACTCTGACAATCAGCTCTGTTGGAATCTGATCGGTCATATACCTATTGCTGATCAGTATAATCTCCGAACGATTACATTCAACATATGGTGACAATTCTGAATAATTGTAAGATAGAATTAATAATATTGATGCAATTTGGATGACGAGTGGCGAAGGTGCACAAATTTCTTTTTGTTAAACTACTGTTGGAACACCTTGTGATTATTTCATCGACTACGATTGATGTATACATTCATAATCAATGATTTTTAGCAACGAATTGAAAACCAGAAAAAGAATCCTTCAACTATTTCTTTCAAATCATATACATTGATGGTGCTCATCATCATGTATCAGTGTAAGAATTGGAATTCCAACAGATAATATTACTTAGATTGATCTATAACAGTAAATCTTCTCTGACACAAATATGGCCAATGCTTATTACTGTGTTTTGAGAAGAAAATATTCTTCTTCTATAGAAAAAAAAGTAAATATTATTGTTTTCATTAGATTTCTTACGGATAAAAAGAATGTGTCATTCAATCGTCATGTATCTTCATTACGCAAATAGATACACCCATATATGTATGAATAATATGTATGTATCATTCAGCGCATGATTTTTTTAGAAGATTTTTTAATGTTTTTCGATTACTTTGGATACGCATGAAAGGAATCTATGAGTAAAAGAAAGAAAGAAAGAACGAGTATATAAGTATGTATTAATACGTTCTATCATTTACACTTTCTAGCGATTATTATTCNATTGATTTGTTAGACAGTTTAACAAATCTATAGAGTTATGTATCGATAAAATACAAATAGATCCTCGAATTGTATAGTTTTAGGTGATTTAGAGTTTCGATTCGAAAAAAAACTCTTTTACAAAATGAAATATTTTATTTACCTTGCAATCGATTGGCAGTCACAGTGACTATTGATAGATGAAAACAAAGAATGAAACTATGATGGCGCTGCATGGTTTTTTTTCTTTCTTTTATATACACATTCAAGTCAGAAACGGTGAAAATGACTCATTTATATGGTGATAGTCAAAGAGACGCGTATAAATTCACATCGAATTTACGTCATGCTATATTTAATATGTTAAAAGCATGCAAGAGTATACTGCATTATGATTTCAATTAGATCTTTTCTTTTCTACATTCTCGCCGCCACTCACATCCAATCAAAGATCGTCTTTTTGTCTTACAAGTTTAAAAAAACAAACTTGTGATCAAATGGGTGTGTCGGTATTTGGTTTAATTAAACAGATTACAAGATAAAGAACTAGTTGATGGATTTTATTATTAAAACAGATATCGACGCTGTCTCAAATATTTTATTCAAATTCAATGGTTTGTTGATCGATGAGCAGAAGAAAATGAAGTATTTTCGAACAAAAACGTTAATGCAAGATGTGTTTATTTCTTTTTCTCTCTAAAATCGATCTTCTTTCAAAGAGTAGCAGTATAAGAACAAATGCTCCGTTCATCGATCAATATTTGAGAGCAGTAAAAATTAGCCAAGATCTGATGATCCACTAAAGTTTGGTGGTACAAATTTGGAAGAAAGTAACTTTACTGGATCACATCTGTGTGATGTTACTTTTGATCGAGTCAATTTCTTTTCGGCAATTTTTCTGATATTGAGTTTTGTTTGATTCCACTGGATATTTCATCATACAATGTGAAACATGTTCGAATCTTGAGAATGTGTGAGGGTAGATTCATGTTACACGTCTTGACCAAACACCAGGTTTTTTCCAATTTAGTTAAAATAAAATAGATAAATAGAGAGATAAGGATTGCATTATTTCTATATAAATATTTGCGCATGACCGTATGATAGTTAGCGCTATTCAAGACTTTTCTTCCTAGAGTTAATAAACTTCTTTTTAAAAACCATGCCGCGTTGTCACACATGTCAAGATTATTGTTACGGCCCTGAAGAGTTCTCATATCAAGGAAAGGTCAGTTTCTCTATGTTGATTTTCTGTTTTTTTTGGATGTTTACCGTTAAAAGAGAGATTCATAAAACGCGAAGATGTGACTGTGAATAACGAAAGATATTCATATCGTTTTCGTTCTTCCTGGAATCTAATTCAATTAAAGTTTAATCAACTAGGCTTATCATAAGCGATGCTTCAAGTGCACCACATGCAATAAGACGTTAACTATATCCAATGTTCGTGGTTTTAATAAATTACCTTATTGTTACCAGTAAACCGTCGTCTATACTGATTTCAAGATGATTATATTCTACGTTATTTTCAGGCATTCACCCGACATGAAAGCATCCCCTGTAACCCTACAAAATGACGATTCCTATGATTACGGAATCCAAGAAGTCGATTCGGGAGCCATTAGTGTTAATCATAATTTGGNCTTCCGACCTTTCTGAAATTCCATTACCGCGATTAGTTCGCCTAACCATATTGACAACATTTGATATTCCCTCGTCACTCTGTACATTTTATCTTTCATTTCATATATTTCAAAATCGATTTCTACACGAATCGTTCCATAGTCATGCGGCTATTCTTCTATTATTGCTCGTTCTATCAACTCAGTTGATCGATATACCTTTTCATATTATTTATCTCGGTTTGAATTATGTTTGGCCAGCTAATCCAAATTTTTGTTATTTATTTCTGTTGACATATTCGATTCTACTGATCTTCTTCTGGGATACGCTGTCACTGAAAGACACATACTTGTTTCTCATTATCAATGGTTACGAACGATGAAAAACAGATGATTTCTTCATTATTTCTCTTTATTTTCTGTAATCACATATTCATTCATATTTCCTCCGTGTCAAATAAATTTTGATTACATTTAACCCTAGTGTTCGTATCCATGTTATTATGATAATTATACATTATCATTGTGTGACTCGATTGCGAATGTCATTATACCCGCATTTAGTATTTTGGTTTTCAACATTATATTCATAATGCGGTTTATTTGTCAACGAAATCGTCTCAATTTAAGAAATCAATGGAAAAACTATCGTAGAATGGTTGTACAATTAATCAGTATATCATCATTAATGATAAAATTAAATTTTATCATTGACGTTTCTCCTATTGGCACATCTATGCGATGTCTCATCAGATGTCGGACTGGTTTTCAGTCGATACGGGTATTTTGTTACTTGTTTCATTCCATTATTAATGCTATTTATTTGTCTGACATCATTACCAGAAATTTTTCAAAAATTAGTTAAATTCATTCGTCATCGATCGAATAGAATTCAACCATAAATAGTTTGTCGTTTGGATGATATGATAATCATCGATGAGAACGCGGTCTGTATTTCCGCAGCGAGTCTTTGAATGTTTTCATGTACAAATCAGAAGGAAGTACAAATACAATGAAAATAAGCATTGATGGAGTAAATGAAATGAAGTAAGCACAAAGATATAATGAAGGATTGTTCGATGCATCTATACATCCGGATATTAATGAAATGATCAGACGAGGTAATGATAAAACTAGAAGAATCAACGGACTGACGATCAGTTGTTTGTGCTCGTCGATTTGTTTAAGGACGAGTTCTTGAAATGTTTGTTTAGTTTGAATTGTTGATCTTCGACGAGCATTTCCAAAAATAATATATAAAGTAGAACAAAGATTAGCGAGAAATGGAACAATCAGATGAAGAAACAGAATAATTGTATTGTAATTCTGTACAAAACTTGGATAAGTTACAACACATAACACATATTTTTCTGTTTCGTATCTTATGGTTTCGTTTGTTTGATTTCGATTCTCATCCGATCCGTAGATCTCATTAGTGTATTCAAATATATGTCGATGCATAGGTTCATGAATGAGAGTGGCCACGATGAAAATTGGTAGGATCTTAACGATCCATCGAGCAGCACGTCTACTTTTCTTTTTATCGAATTGAACGCCTTTGTAAACATTAATCGCCCGTTCAATAGCGACACAACTGTTGAGCCAAGTGTCGAGATACACGAGAATTTTTAGAAATGGTTCGAGAAAAATACAAACATCTCGAAAGACAGGCACATTCACAGAAACATTTATATGATTGTATAGAACAAACCAGAATTTGAACGTAAATACCGAAATAGTAAAAAGAGAAACGTCNAACAATATCGATCGTGGATGAATTCTCATATAATGCTTTTGTTGCAATTTGATGTCGATCTTCCATGGAACAATAAAGTACATTGTTGATAGCGATAAATATATCGAAACATCGTTCGCAAAAATGCACGATGGGTACAGTATCAAATGTATTTGGATTCCATTTAGTTATTCGAGCATTTGAATAACCAGTCATGAAATAGAAATTGTCAGCTGATGTAATAAAGAGATCTAAAGGTCCGATCAAATTATGGAAATTTCTTCTACTTATATTAACACTGTCTTCATTCCATTGGTAAATATAATCTTTGTTAAATGCAATGGCGTAGATCGTATTATCTCTATCGATAAAAATAGTTACTGGGCTCCAACCATGTGTTACTTCACTGACTAATGTAATTCCCGAAGCATTCCATTCGGCACATGGTGATAGTTCTGGTTGGTTGTACGATATTTCTACCGAAACAGAGTCGGGTTCTGAGCAAATACTCGTTCAACTTTCATTTCTTTTAAGACTCTAAATTACCTGGGTGTACAAGTTTAACTGCATGTTCTGCTAATTGATAGTCAAAGATCAAAACATAGAACCATAATTGAAGGATCGTAATCGCTATCATCGTATTGGGAGTTGTGTCACTTTATTATATTTTAGTTAGAATGCCAAATGCGTCTAAAATAATATCGTTTCATATATCGTTTGCTTTAATTTTAATAGAAAAATTGATCCAACGTGAATAAATAGATATTTGATAAGGCATGATATATGAACATTATTGACATTTTGTGTAGAAATAACTCTGACAATCAGCTCTGTTGGAATTTCGATCGTAAGAAACTAGCAATCGGAATAACTGGTAAGGATTTTCAGACAACATGAATCGATATTTTCGAGATATAACAATCCAATTTCACGTACGAAGATGAATCGGTCATATACTTATTGCTGATCAATATAATCTCCGAAACGATTACATTCAACATACGGTGACAATTCTGAATAATTGTAAGATAGAATTAATAATATTGATGCAATTCGGATGACGAGTGGTGAAGATACACAAATTTCTTCTTGGTAAGCTACTGTTGGAACACCTTGTGATTCTTTCATCGATTACGATTGATGTATACGTACATTCATAATCAATGATTTTTAGCAACGAATTGACAACCAGAAAAAGAATCCTTCAACTATTTCTTTCAAATCATATACATTGATGGTACCCAAGAGAATTTAGTTTATATTGCACAAATCCTTTATGATCAATGTTAACTTTTTCAGTCTAAATGCGTTTTATTGCGATTATTTCATCATGTATCAGTGTAAGAATTGGAATCCTAACAGATACTATTACTTAGATTGATCTATGACAGTAAATCTTCTCTGACACAAATATGGCCAATGCTTATTACTGTGTTTAGAGAAGAAAATATTCTTCTATAGAAAAAAAAGTAAATATTATTGTTTTCATTAGATTTCTTACGGATAAAAAGAATGTGTCATTTACTCGTCATGTATCTTCATTACGCAAATAGATACACCCATATATGTATGAATAATATGTATGTATCATTCAGCGCATGATTTTTTTAGAAGATTTTTTAATGTTTTTCGATTACTTTGGATACGCATGAAAGGAATCTATGAGTAAAAGAAAGAAAGAACGAGTATATAAGTATGTATTAATACGCTCTATCATTTACACTTTCTAGCGATTATTATTNTTCAATCGTCATGTATCTTCATTACGCAAATAGATACACCCATATATGTATGAATAATATGTATGTATCATTCAGCGCATGATTTTTTTAGAAGATTTTTTAATGTTTTTCGATTACTTTGGATACGCATGAAAGGAATCTATGAGTAAAAGAAAGAAAGAAAGAACGAGTATATAAGTATGTATTAATACGTTCTATCATTTACACTTTCTAGCGATTATTATTCAATCTTTCATAAGACACACGATATAACAATGTTTGGTGGACATCATCATCATCATCATCACGGTAAAGATTATATCAACATTCAATTCGAAACTTTTTGATTTTCCTTGTCTCAAGGAGGTTTTGGTGGCGGAGGTTATCCAGGAGGCTTTGGTGGAGGTTATGGCGGAAACTTTGGTGGTTATGGAGGTGGCTATGGGGGTGGCTTTGGTGATCCATACGGTGGTTTCGGTGGACAAGGCTATGGAGGTTTCGGTGGTCCAGGTTTTGGCGGTGGTTATGGATCATCTTATGGATACGGTTTTTAATAATATAATCTCAAAACATCAGCTTTCTATACTAAGATGTATTTTTAAAAATGTACTACTTACAAAACAATTGTAAATATGGCCTTTTTATAAAGAATCTTCTATATTTATAATCAATAAATGTTTAAATGGAAATATAAAACTTTTTCCTCACATTACTTGGATCGTCTTGAGCTTGTAGATGAGAATTTTGTTTCGACTGTCTCATACGCTCTTTAGACCCGTTCTCACTTATACACTCGAGATGGTTGAATTTGTCGATGATTAAGTTCGCATGAGTCGAGATTGTTCAAAAGGTTATAAATAAGTAATTTTATTACATCTCAGCGGTTTGAAAGAGAATTAGATCTGCATCATCATTTATTTCTTATCACATAGCGAACAGGTTGGATTGGTTCAACTCGATTTTGAAATAAAGATATTGCTCGTTGAAGGCCAAACCTCGTAAAACAGAACTGACGCATTTCTTGGAATGTAATCAGAGGAATCATCGGTGTAAAAGTATAGTTCAAATAGACAATGAACGTCGTAACTGCATCGATAAATACAGAATAAGTCATGTTTAAGGTTGTTTGAAAGAAATTATAGAGAACCCAAGGTGACCATGTAAAAAAGAACCAAAAAAGAAATAGATACAGAGAGAACAGAAGACGACGGTGATTTCGTGTACCTACTTGTCTTCTTTGTCGTTGGCCTAGAACGTATTTTCGGTATAGAATAAGTCCAATCATAGATAGACAAGTAAACATAATGAGAAAATAGGGAATAAATGTTATCAATAAATCGAACAAGATATAAATCTTCCGAGAATACCAAAGATCGCAAACAGAATTTCTCGATGAATTGTTCAGATCTACTGTCATTGCTCCGTACCGCATAACAATCGGATAATAAAGACAAGGAAAGGCAATGGCTACGAAGAGAGCGAAATAATGAACAGTAATGGCCAGAGAATATTTCTAATGATGTGCTCGATGGAAAATAAAAGGTTTGACAACAATCAATAAACGCTCAATCGAAAGCTGAGCAACCAGAAAATTATTCATTCGAGTTGGAATGTAAGTAAGATAAACACTGATATCACATAATAGACTATTGAGTACAGGTAAGCAACCGTTATGATGATAGAAGTAAAGTCTCAAAGGTCCTCTGAAAACAGCAACTGAGAACTCAGCGAAGCAGCTCAAGAAGAGTGCATGACTCTGTACATCAAATACTTGTTTCGCTCGAAAAATAAACGTTATGATGAAAACGATGTTGAGTAATATCCCAAGTGGAACAATGAGGCAACTTAGAATGAATAAAGTATAATACATCGAGAACAGATCATAGCCGAGATCATCTTTGTGTTTGCATTTCATAGTGATCGAAGTTGCATTGCCATTTACATCCATATGTGTAGCAGATTTGTAAAAATACAAAAAATGTCCTCAGGTTTTTTTGTTGCGACAAACTGATTGTCACGCGAAAGTATCATAGAGTAATGCCGGTAGAGGAAAAATTTGCTTCAATGGTCGTCATTATCAGTTCATATTGCCTGCCACGTTGCTTCTCTCATACGGAATAAAATGTAGCTTTCAAGATATTAATGTTTCTTTTTCAATAGACACCAGTAACATCAGTCAATTAGACGCTTTCTTCTTTTCATATGCACTTAAAGGATGAAACAGTTCTTGATGTAATTAGGATCGCCATGAAGAAAACGAACGTTGAGATGCACAATCAGAAAATTTACTAGAATGGATTAAATACTTTTAAAGCTCATCGACACAATCTGACATCGATTTGACATAAAGAAATATGTACACATCTATTACTAATAGTTGCAATACTAATGATCGAAGCACTGCTTTGATTGTTGAAGATTTACATAGAGAAATATTAGCATAAGTAAAAAGAAGATAAAACGATATTGCAAAAGCTGATGAAACAAAAGTATTTCTAATTACTAAACTTTGAAGAGCGCATAAGTTTCTCATGAGTTTGTGAGAAAATTCTCGTTTGAGAGAAANATAAAGAAATATGTACACATCTATTACTAATAGTTGCAATACTAATGATCGAAGCACTGCTTTGATTGTTGAAGATTTACATAGAGAAATATTAGCATAAGTAAAAAGAAGATAAAACGATGTTGCAAAAGCTGATGAAACAAAAGTATTTCTAATTACTAAACTTAGAAGAGCGCATCAGTTTCTCATCAGTTTGTGGGAAAACTCTCGTTTGAGAGAAATGGTTTGACTTTTAAAAAGTGTTTAATTTTTTCATACTTTTTTTCGAGAATATTTCAATATTAAGCCTATGCCACGGTAATACTCACTAGCACTTCTTTCAAATTGAATATGAATTTTATTAAAGTGATTCAAACAGATAGTTCCCAACAAAAACCATCGTCCATTATATGCCCGTCTTTCAACTGAATTAGTGTATTCATCATGGCTCATTGAAAATGGTGAAGCTGTGCGTGTTGATGATGAACTCCTATAAGCTGGTCGCATTTCATTGTAGTTTCGGTATCTATCTCCCTTTCATGATGTTCATTGTGCTTCTTTGTCGGTATCGTATATGGCGCGGTCAAGATCGAGTTAATATAGTTATCAATATACGCTTCGATCATTCGACTGAAAAGCTCAGTGTTTTTTGATAATTGTAGAAACAAATTTGATGGTGTGTCTTTAGATATTTCCAAACAACGCTATCATCGGAACTTTCGTCCGACATTCTATTTATCGAGTCCATGGCATAGCGTGTAGATAAATGAGGTGTGAGTAAACTTTGTTTGCCGTGATGTGTCATTTCGTGTTAAAGATAAACCAAAGTCGCAAGCTTTTTCAATTAAAAGGTTCAATTATTTAGCATCAAGATGTAGAATTAGAGACTCACATTTTTTTAGATTATTGAATAGAACATGGAGTGAAAACCATATTCCGCGCCGCCTGAAGATTGTGAATAAAGATGGCTAAACGTTTTCTCATAATTCACACCCTTCGTGTAATTTATTATCATGCAGAACATTTTTAAAAGTGTCGCGAACTAACGAAAACTTTCATTAGAATCATTTCCGATATTCGATTAAAGACTTGAATATGTTGAGGTTTTCGATACAAAATAATAAATAGAATTAACAAAACTCGGAACATTGATGAAAATGGCAAAAGCTCACTGACATCGTGTCGAAGTTGGAATATTCGAATAAAAAGTGCAATAAGACATCGAATCAACAGAGACGAACAAATATATAAACCAAAAGTACGTTATGTAAGAGAAACAAAGAATTAACCTCGAAGTGAAAAAGAGTTCATATAAGAGTGATAATGTCGAATTTCAGTTGATTGAAATTCTGTCTGAAGTTTTATTGGAGTGAAGAAATCGAACTGAATTGTTGAAAGATTATTTTGAGGGATAGATAAATGATCACGAAACCACAAACAACCACTTTCTGTACATTGAAAAGTTTTTTCAATTGATAAATTGGATACTCGAAAGGTTTTATTTATCCATTCTGGTTCAAATGAAGAATTCCAATGTGAACATTGTTTAGATTTCACATGTAATTGTATCATTTTAATCCATTCGATCGATTGATTTGTTTTGTCATCAAAGTAAGTTGAAAGATTTCAGTATGGATCACCATTGTACCATGATTGAACACGAATTTTCCGAACAAATTCATTTTCTAACCAATTGTGGATTGTTGAAATCTAAAGAAAAATAAAATTATCGTTGTGGATGAAAATTCAACACAAACCTTTTCATTGTCTCGTGAATGAACAAAATCATTTCTCGAACCATCAACTTGTTTTAACTGATGAAAACGTTGATTCGAACAAATAAGAAAATTAACGAAATATTCATTCGCTTGTTTCTTTTTAGCAGATTCTCGAATAAAACAAACGAAAATCTTGATTGGTTCAACCAGATGAATTAATAATATTATCCATTTTTGTGTTTTTAAATCACCAAACTCAATTATACGGACAACAATAAAGGACATTGAGATAAAACCTATAATAAATAACAATCGATATGCTGAAATGAAGCGCCACCAAGGAAATTGAAATCGTAGCTTTGTTTTTGATTTATCCGATGAATTTGTTAGAAGAAGTTGAATATGTCGAAAGAATTGAACGAAATGCAGACTTGAACAAAATACCAGCAATTCAACAATGATGACAATTCCAATCTAAATCATTCAACTAAAAATAAATCGAAGAATACTAAGAAAGTAAAACAAACCTGTTCGTATGTTGTGTACAGCGGATAAAACAATAAAGAAGTTTTCCCATTGGTTTCATTCATTTGGTTATAATAAAGAATGTCCAATAACATTAAAGTAAGAGTTACAACAAAACAACGAGTACATCGTTGAACACATGAAAAGTTATTTGAAGGTAGATGAAAAGAAATTGTAAGCCAAAGATGATCTTCAGAATATGCTTGTTTAGATGAAACACACAGAAATTCATGTTTTGCTAATTCACTTGACACTGGTAAAAGGCGTTCAACTTGAAATTTCAAATATAAAATAAAGATAAAGAAAATAAACTTACCTGTTCATCGTGTTTATCAATAGCAGACCATCGCTGACAAATAAAATTAGATTTTTCTAATGTTTGTAGATCACAAATGATCAAATATTTCCAATACTCTAATAAATTATCTTTATTATTATGCCAAATGCAAATCGAATTCAATTTTCCTAATGATTTAGGAACAGTCATAGCAAATGAATCGATATCATCATGTTGAGATATATTTCGTTCCGAATAATTAAATGTTCGAACTTGTGTTTCATCTTCATCACCAGCAAGAATAAAATGATCTTGAGGTTTTGTTTCTGCATCTTTCCGGTGGTCAGTAAAAATAATAATTTGATAACAATATTGATCTTCTTGACGATTATCTTCTAAGGCAATGACTCCTAACTGAAATCGAAGAGTTATACTGAATCGAAATAAACATAGTTCATATCTTACCTTCTCGATATCGTTTTTATCTTTAAAACGTGCATAAATCATAATGAGAAGGTAAAGAATAGAAACAGAAATCATGGTGATATAAATTGTTTTATTTCGATTGAAATTCGCATGTAAAAAGACATAATTCCAATGGATAGGCGATGGTAAAACAAGAAATCCAGCTGCGAATGTTGTTAAATGTGTTGAAAAACATTCCGTTTCATTTGTATTTGTCAATGATCCAACCTTTTCGAGGAAGAAAATGAATTTTATTTTGTAACATTGAAATGACTTACAATCAATCCATCGGATTGCCATTGATTATTTGAATCAAGATAGTAACAACCAGATGTGTACAGTCGAAGTTCATAATCTGATGTAAAATCAAACGGTGCATCGGTGATGGGCGGATTGACCGGTGGAGTTGTACAATACTGAGATATTTCTGTTGAGTTCAGTTCACGTAAACCANATAAAGAAATATGTACACATCTATTACTAATAGTTGCAATACTAATGATCGAAGCACTGCTTTGATTGTTGAAGATTTACATAGAGAAATATTAGCATAAGTAAAAAGAAGATAAAACGATATTGCAAAAGCTGATGAAACAAAAGTATTTCTAATTACTAAACTTTGAAGAGCGCATAAGTTTCTCATGAGTTTGTGAGAAAATTCTCGTTTGAGAGAAATGGTATGACTTCTAAAAAGTGTTTAATTTCTTCATACGATTTTTCGAGAATATTTCAATATTAAACCTATGCTATGGTAATACTCACTAGCATTTCTTTCAAATTGAACATGAATTTTATTAAAGTGATTCAAACATATAGCTCTCAACGAAAACCTTCGTCCATTATATGCCCGTCTTCCAACTGAATTCGTGCATTCATCCTTGCTCATTGAAAATGGTGAAACTGTGCGTGTCGATGATGAATTCCTATAAGTTGGTCGCATTTCATTGTAGTTTCGGTATCTATCTTCCTTTCATGATGTTCATTGTGCTTCTTTGTCGGTACCGTATATGGCGCGGTCAAGCTCGAGTTGATATAGTTATCAACATACGCTTCGATCATTCGACTGAGAAGCCCAGTGCTTTTTGATAATTGTAGAAACAAATTTGATGGTGTGTCTTTAGATATTTCCAAACAACGCTATCATCGGAACTTCCGTACGATATTTTATTTATCGAGTCCATGGCATAGCGTGTAGATAAATGAGGTATGAGTAAACTTTGTTTGCCGTGATGTGTCATTTCGTGTTAAAGATAAACCAAAGTCGTAAGCTTTTTCAATTAAAAAGTTCAATTATTTAGCATCAAAATGTAGAATTAGAGGTTCACATTTTTTTAGATTATTGAATAGGACATGCAGTGAAAACCATATTTCGCATCACCTGAAGATTGTGAATAAAGATGGCGAAATGTTTTCTCATAATTCTCACCCTTCGTGTAATTTATTATCATGCAGAACATTTTTAAAAGTATCGCGAACTAACGAAAACTTTCATTAGAATCATTTCCGATATTCGATTAAAGACTTGAATATGTTGAGGTTTTCGATACAAAATAATAAATAGAATTAACAAAACTCGGAACATTAATGAAAATGGCAAAAGCTCACTGACATCATGTCGAAGTTGGAATATTCGAATAAAAAGTGCAATACAACATCGAATCAACAGAGAGGAACAAATATATAAACCAAAAGTACGTTATGTAAGAGAAACAAAGATTAACCTCGAAGTGAAAAAGAGTTCATATAAGAGTGATAATGTCGAACTTCAGTTGATTGAAATTCTGTCTGACGTTTTATTGGAGTGAAGAAATTGAATTGAATTGATGAAAGATTATTTTGAAGGGTAGATAAATGATCACGAAATTCATAAACAACCACTTTCTGTACATTGAAAAGTTTTTTCAATTGATAAATTTCATACTCGACAGGTTTTATTTATCTATTCTGGTTCAAATCAACAATTCCAATGTGAACATTGTTTAGATTTCACATGTAATTGTATCATTTTAATCCATTCGATCGATTGATTTGTTTTGTCATCAAAGTAAGTTGAAAGATTTCGGTATGGATCACCATTGTACCATGATTGAACACGAATTTTCCGAACAAATTCCAATAATTATGGATTGTTGAAATCTAAAGAAAAATAAAATTATTGTCGTGAAGAAAAATTCAACACAAACCTTTTCATTGTCTCGTAAATGAACAAAATCATTTCTCGAACCATCAACTTGTTTGAACTGATGAAAACGTTGATTTGAACAAATAAGAAAATTAACGAAATATTCATTCGCTTGTTTCTCTTTAGCAGATTCTCGAATAAAACAAACGAAAAAAGTTGTTAATGCAAAAATCTTGATTGGTTCAACCAGATGAATTAATGATATTATCCATTTTTGTGTTTTTAAATTACCAAACTCAATTATATGGACAACAATAAAGGACATTGAGATAAAACCTATAATAAATAACAATCGATATGCTGAAATAAAGCGCCACCAAGGAAATTGAAATCGTTTCTTTGTTTTTGATTTATCCGATGAATTTGTTAGAAGAAGTTGAATATGTCGAAAGAATTGAACGAAATACAGACTTGAACAAAATATCAGCAATTCAACAATGATGACAATTTCAATCTAAATCATTCAACTAAAAATAAATCGAAGAATACTAAGAAAGTAAAACAAACCTGTTCGTATGTTGTGTACAGCGGATCAAACAATAAAGAAGTTTTCCCATTGGTTTCATTCATTTGGTTATAATAAAGAATGTCCAATAACATTAAAGTAAAGGTTAGAATACAATAATAAGTACATCGTTGAACACGTGAAAAGTTATTTGAAGGTGAATGAAAAGAAATTGTAAGGCAAAGATGATCTTCAGAAATATTCCAATATACTTCTTTAGATGAAATACACAAAAATTCATGTTTTGGTAATTCATTTGACACTGGTAAGAGATGTTCAACCTGAAACTTCAAATATGAAATAAATATGAAGAAAATAAACTTACTCGTTCATCATGTTTATCAATAGCAAACCATCGTTGACAAATAAAATCAGATTTTTCTAATATTTGTAGATTACAAATGATCAAATATTTCCAATACTCTAATAAATTATCTTTATTATTATGCCAAATGCAAATAGAATTCAATTTTCCTAATGATTTAGGAACAGTTATAACAGATGAATCGATATCACCATGTTGAGATATATTTTGTTTCGAATAATTAAATGTTCGAACTTGAGATTTTGTTTCTGCATCTTTCCGGTGGTCAATAAAAACAATAATTTGATAACAATATTGATCTTCTTGACGATTATCTTCTAAAGCAATGACTCCGAACTGAAATCGAAAAGTTATACTCAATCGAAATAAACATAGTTCATATCTTACTTTTTCAATAAGATTTTTATTTTTAAAACGTGCATAAATCATAATGAGAAGATAAAGAATAGAAACAGAAATCATGGTGATATAAATCGTTTTATTTCGATTGAAATTCGCATGTAAAAAGACATAATTCCAATTGATAGGTGATGGTAAAACAAGAAATCCACCTGCGAATGTTGTTAAATGTGTTGAAAAACATTCCGTTTCATTTGTATTTGTCAATGATCCAACCTTTTCGAGGAAGAAAATGAATTTTTATTTTGTAACATTGAAATGACTTACAATCAATCCATCGGATTGCCATTGATTATTTGAATCAAGATAGTAACAACCAGATGTGTACAGTCGAAGTTCATAATCTGATGTAAAATCAAACGGTGCATCGGTGATGGGCGGATTGACCGGTGGAGTTGTACAATATTGAGATATTTCTGTTGAGTTCAGTTCACGTAAACCAAAAATCAGAGATTTATGATTATTTGTTAGTTGATTATTGATGAAATAAGTATACATATTGTTAATGGTCAAATCTGAAATAAAATCGTGTCTTACTTCTAAGAAATTCATACAAGTTTAGCGAACTTGAAGGACAAAATAAAGACCAATGATCAATTTCAGACATGGAACTATTCAACACTGGTGAACTATCAAATTTATAAACCAATAGATAACCCAGACTTAAATTTAATGGTTTCATTTCCATATGAATCGATACGGAAATACCATTTAACTGAGATAAATCAACATAATGCAAATTGAACAGAAGATGATGAGGTGTACCATTCATAGAAGTGGCATTCTGTAATGTCATTGGCGGAAGGATGAGATTAACATCTCGTGGAATTATAAATCGGTATGGATTATAGGATAAAGTTGGAAAAGATAATTCATTTCCGTTTCGATCAAGAATAGAAAATGAAATAGTTGTAGAAAGATTTGTATAAGAATTCGAAGGAGATTGGTCAGCTGATGCAAGGGGTTGAACAATTGACTAATGAGTACGAGAGAAGAGAAGAGAAGAGAATTCATATGAAAATACACATACTCGAAATGAAACTAGATGATTATCATTTGAATTCATATTTGATGGAAGTTGAACTTGTGCATTGCCAATCGATTTGATAATTCCATTTGAAAATGATTGAATCGTTGTCGTTTGTAATGACATAAAAACAGATGATGAATTTATTGTAAAATTCTGTCCAATATTTAAATGATTATTCAGAGCAGAAGTTAAAAGTGCGATAGTTCGTTTTGATTGTTCGCTGATTTGAGTTTGTGCTTGTTTTTGATAATAAAGATCTCGATTTCTTTCCATTGTATTCCATGAAAAATCATTTCCATTAGCAAATAAATCTTATTTTTCAAAAACAAAGCAAAATCTTTCTTCTTCTCATTCAAGGATTTAAACATACTCGGATTTGACCATGGAGATTCCAAATCAGTATCATAATCAACAGGAAAGTCATTAGCACGAGAATCATCCAAATCAAGAAGTGTTGTTCGATCTTGTAATGGTCCATTGATTGCCTAAAATTAAAAAAAACATTGTTTATTATATTGTTTTGGAAAAAAAACATATGATCAAGAATCTATACAGTTAAAACATTTGTAATACATTGTGTTATTCGATCAACACCAATCTGAACATGTTCAAAAGCTATTTTTGTTGATATTGTATTTAAACTTTTAGCCAATTGATAGCATTTATTCGATGCGATTATCTAAAAGATGAGAAAACAGTGATTTAGAGAGAATAAGGACAAAGCAGAGTGTTTTATACTGATGATAATCTTGTCAATTGATTTGTTGATTTTGTTAATTCAGAGAGAATAATTGACTGAAATAAAATACTATTTAATGTTAATATCGGAAGATTGTCAGTGAAATTCATCAGATATTCTCGAACATTCGCTTGAGAATTTAATTTTTGATTAAAGTCATTTAAAGCTGAAGTATTTCCAAACACTGACATCTAAATTCAATCAAATGAGAAGATTTGACGCTGAATTGAATGAGAGAGAACTATAATACTTGTTGTATTCTTTGTTCACCCAATTGAGAAATTGAGACACTAGTAAGTGGAACGTTATCTAAATACATAAACGAGTGAAACTTTGTACTATGCTGTTCAAAGAATATGTTGAATATACTTGAAAGAGCTTTGTCTATATTTTGTCCATCTAATTGATTTAATTGTTGTGAAAATGAATAAAGTACTTGTCCAACAACATTTTGATTTGTATTTGAAAGTAATCGAAGAGTTGAATTCGTTTTTATGTTATTTAATAGATTATTGATTTGTAATAGATCTTGAATAATTGTAACTGATGTGATGTTGACTTCTTGAATACAATCAGATTGATCTCCAATAAAAACAGTTAAATGAATCACTGATGTATTCAGATCATTTGCTGGTAAACGAACTTCGAATGTTGAAATTAATGAAAAAGCGATCATTGATCGTTTAATATAATCATTTGTCCAATAATAAAGAGAATAATCTTTGATACCATTTTCATCAAACCAATTCGGACATGAAATGGTGAATAAAGTATTGGTTGTACCATTAAATGGAAAAATTGAACATGAACCATTGGTTGGTGGTTGATTGATGATGAAATTCAATGCACTTCTACTTGATTCCAATGGAAATTGATAAAGAACTTCAAATCGCCAAAGATTGATTTGTGAATTCATAATAAACAATTGATTTGTCGATGTAAAATTACTTGTATTTCGTCCTAAAAAGAAGACTGTGAAAAAGAATTCTTATTAGACACACACTTTCACATACCGAAAAACCAAATATTCTCATACAAATTTATTTGATTAAATAAAGTCCATCTGGTGACATTTGATGATGAATTTAATGATCCAGTATAGATATTCCATGTGATATTCTCAATAGTTGAACAATTGCTGAGACATGTAGAAAATAATGCAACTTGTGTCGATGGATTAACTGCTTGAAATTCCATATTTGGAGCACACATTGTTTGAGTAACACAACTAAATCGAATAGACGTTATTATTATGAGTGAATTTCAACGAATTGCTTACCCAATACCGATCGTCTGTCTTGGATTATCTTCAATGTTGACAAGGAGATAACCAGTTCCTTGAAGAGAAGAGTTTTCGCGGTTTTCCATATAAACCATGAATTGATATGTTTGATTTGGTTGAAGTGAGTGAGAAAGAATTGTGATGGATGAGTTGATAGAGTTAACAAATTTCCATCCTGTTTGATTTGATAAACAAGATGAATTTAAAGAATTAATCATTGGATTATCAATAGTTATTAATGAACCTTGAAAGTTCGNATACAAGTTTAGCGAACTTGAAGGACAAAATAAAGACCAATGATCAATTTGAGACATGGAACTATTCAACACTGGTGAACTATCAAATTTATAAACCAATAGATAACCCAGACTTAAATTTAATGGTTTCATTTCCATATGAATCGATACGGAAATACCATTTAATTGAGATAAATCAACATAATGCAAATTGAACAAAAGATGATGAGGTGTACCATTCATAGAAGTGGCATTCTGTAATGTCATTGACGGAAGGATGAGATTAACATCTCGTGGAATTATAAGTCGGTATGGATTATTGGATAAAGTTGGAAAAGATAATTCATTTCCGTTTCGATCAAGAATAGAAAATGAAATTGTTGTCGAAAGATTTGTATAAGAATTCGAAGGAGATTGATCAGCTGATGCAAGAGGTTGAACAATTGACTAATAAGTACGAGAGAAGAGAAGAGAATTCATATGAAAATACACATACTCGAAATGAAATTAGATAATTATCATTTGAATTCATATTTGATGGAAGTTGAACTTGTGCATTGCCAATCGACTTGATAATTCCATTTGAAACTGATTGAAATGTTGTCGTTTGTAATGACATAAAAACAGATGATGAATTTATTGTGAAATTTTGTCCAATATTTAAATGATTATTAAGAGCAGAAGTTAAAAATGCGATAGTTTGTTTTGATTGTTCACTGATTTGAGTTTGTGCTCGTTTTTGATAATAAAGATCTCGATTTTTTTCCATTGTATTCCATGAAAAATCATTTCCATTAGCAAATAAATCTTATTTATATAAAAAAAATCTTTCTTCTTCTCATTAAAGAATTAAAACATACTTGGATTTGACCATGGAGATTCCAAATCAGTATCATAATCAACAGGAAAGTCATTAGCACGAAAATAATCCAAATCAAGAAGTGTTGTTCGTTCTTGTAATGGCCCATTGATTGCCTAAAATTCAAAAAAAGAAACATTGTTTATTATATTGTTTCGGAAAAAAAACATATGATCAAGAATCTATACAGTTAAAACATTTGTAATACATTGTGTTATTCGATCAACACCAATCTGAACATGTTCAAAAGCTATTTTTGTTGATATTGTATTTAAACTTTTAGCCAATTGATAGCATTTATTCGATGCGATTATCTAAAAGATGAGAAAACAGTGATTTAGAGAGAATAAGGACAAAGCAGAGTGTTTTATACTGATGNTACACTGTGTTATTCGATCAACACCAATCTGAACATGTTCAAAAGCTATTTTTGTTGATATTGTATTTAAACTTTTAGCCAATTGATAGCATTTATTCGATGCGATTATCTGAAAGACGAGAAAACAGTGATTTAGAGAGAATAAGGACAAAACAGAGGGTTTTATACCGATGATAATCGTGTCAATTGATTTGTTGATTTTGTTAATTCAGAGAGAATAATTGACTGAAATAAAATACTATTTAATGTTAATATCGGAAGATTGTCAGTAAAATTCATCAGATATTCTCGAACATTCGCTTGAGAATTTAATTTTTGATTAAAGTCATTTAAAGCTGAACTATTTCCAAACACTGACATCTAAATTCAATCAAATGAGAAGATTTGACGCTGAATTGAATGAGAGAGAACTATAATACTTGTTGTATTCTTTGTTCACCCAATTGAGAAATTGAGACGCTAGTAAGTGAAATGTTATCTAAATACATAAACGAGTAAAACTTTGTATTATGCTGTTCAAAGAAAATGTTGAATATACTTGAAAGAGCTTTGTCTATATTTTGTCCATCTAATTGATTTAATTGTTGTGAAAATGAATAAATTACTTGTCCAACAACATTTTGATTTGTACTTGAAATTAATCGAAGAGTTGAATTCGTTTTTATGTTATTTAATAGATTATTGATTTCTAATAGATCTTGAATAATTGTAACTGATGTGATGTTGACTTCTTGAATACAATCAAATTGATCTCGAATAAAAACAGTCAAATGAATCACTGATGTATTCAGATCATCTGCTGGTAAACGAACTTCGAACGTTGAAATTAATGAAAAAGCGATAATTGATCGTTTAACATAACCATTTGTCCAATAATAAAGAGAGTAATCTTTGATGCCATTTTCATCAAACCAATTCGGACATGAAATTGTGAATAAAGTATTGGTTGTACCATTAAATGGAAAAATTGAACATGAACCATTAGTTGGTGGTTGATTGATGATGAAATTCAATGCACTTCTACTTGATTCCGATGGAAATTGATAAAGAACTTCAAATCGCCAAAGGTTGATTTGTGAATTCACAATAAACAATTGATTTGTTGATGTAAAATTACTTGTATTTCGTCCTGAAAAGAGGAGTGTGAAAAATAATTCTTGACAGACACACACTTTCACATACCAAAAAACCAAATATTCTCATACAAATTTATTTGATTGAATAAAGTCCATCTGGTGACATTTGATGATGAATTTATTGATCCAGTATAGATATTCCATGTGATATTCTCAATAGTTGAACAATTGTTGAGACATGTAGAAAACAATGCAACTTGTGTTGATGGATTAACTGCTTGAAATTCCATATTTGGAGCACACATTGTTTGAATAACACAACTAAATTGAATAGACGTTATTATTATGAGTGAATTTCAACGAATTGCTTACCCAATACCGATCGTCTGTCTTGGATTATCTTCAATGTCGACAAGGAGATAACCAGTTCCTTGAAGAGAAGAGTTTTCGCGGTTTTCCATATAAACCATGAATTGATATGTTTGATTTGGTTGAAGTGAGTGAGAAAGAATTGTGATGGATGAGTTGATAGAGTTACCAAATTTCCATCCTGTTTGATTTGATAAACAAGATGAATTTAAAGAATTAATCATTGGATTATCAATAGTTATTAATGAACCTTGAAAGTTCGGAAAATTATATTGTCCATAGATTCGACAATAATATTTATATACCCAATTCTAAAAGAAACGAACATATAATGATCATGGAATCTTTATTGAAATAGGCATACCGTAGCATTGAAATAAGGTTCATCTAAGTCAATAGAAAATGAGCCAGGATCAAGCAAAAGATTTTCATTATATCCATATGTGATCATTGATGTTCCATATTGAACAAGATTTACTTTAATAAGTGAGGGTATAATGCGAACATAAACGGGTGTTGTTGTTTGTAACCAAGGTATATCAATCATTGTTACTGTTAAGTCGAATTTATAGATTCCATATTGGAGTGTTCCAAGTGGAATATACAATTCGCTGTATGTTGTAATGATTTGTTCATCTAATTCAATTTGGCTAGAACAGATTGATGTACAAGCCGTAATTGTCCATTTTGTTGAGACTGAAAAGGATTGATTACAATTTAAGTCTATGAGTGATATGAAATAAATATCTTGACTTCGTTGTATTTCCAGTGATGAATTAAGTGATGGTGCTGGCGGACTGATCATAACATTTGGAGAAAAGCAACCTGAAAATGCTACAAATAGTATTCTAGTCCTAGTTGAGAACATTTACTTTGATTTGAAAATAATATTTGAGAAGCTGTTGTTGCTGCAGCTGCAGCTGTTGTTGCTATTGTTTTGGTGGGTATTACTGCGGCTGTCGTTGCTGCAGCTGCTGTTGCTATTTTTGTTGTGATGTTGGTAGTTACCGTTGATGTAATTGTTGATGCTGTCGTTTGCTTATTTGACGAGATTTGCGTTATTTTATTTATTGTGCTATCAATTGATGTTCTATACTCTGAAAGAGAGAATGCTATTCTATTGTTATATCTTAGAATATCTTTACTAACCTGTTTGATATTGTGTCGTAGTTGGATCTGACGTAGTCAAATCTAAAAGTGTTCAAATAAAGTTTTTTATTAATGAAACAATTGAATTCAATAAAAGAGCATCCTGAAGCAAAAAATCGTTTGAAATTACTTACCACATGAATTACTTATTAGACTGAATTTTTGAATACGACTATTATTTCCGTCGACAACAAACATATTTCCATAACTATCGAAAGCCATAAATGAAGGCATCTTTAATTTAGTAGGTCCACTACCAGCGTTGCCTGAACATGCTGCGATGCACCGAAACCCATTTGGTCCTGATACAATAACACGATTATTATCCAAATCGACAATATAGAGGTTGTTATCAGCATCTAAGGCAACTGATGTAGGATAGATAAGTGTCACACTTCCATTTAGTCCTGCCCCAGCTGCTGTTGTTGCATTTAATTCGCCCGCTTGAAAAATTTGAATTCGGGAATTCGCAGAATCTGCCACGTATACATCAAAATTGATATCAACAAATATTCCATTAGGATAGTTGAGCTCATCCGGCATTGGTCCACTTTCGTTAAATTTACCAGCAACAACAATTGTTGTATTTGAACTGCTACTTAGTGAACATTTAACAATTTGATGAAGTACGTTCATTGCGCAGTAAAGTGTATTATTAATGTCAACAAAGAGACCACTACAGTACGAACTGGCATACATTGCAGGAGCAGTTTCTGTTCCATTTGACATAAATCTAGCTACTAGACCATTTGGATTACCAGCATCAACCAAAATATCACCTTCATCCATGATGAAAAGACTCAGTGGTTCTTGTAAATTACCAGATATAGTATTTGAAGGTGTGCTATTTCCTGCGATCCAGACTATGACTTTACCATACTGATAATTAGTCACATAAATTGTGTTATTTTTCGTAATGAAGACCGAAGAAGGCATTGATCCAACGATATTACTTCGTGCAAAAGTCGTTGCATTACCATTCCATGTTGCATTTGGACAAAATTTCGGTTGATTGTAAGAAACAGCTTTGGAATATAAACGAAAATAATATATTATCAAATTCTTCAGTACGTTAACAAAATTGAACTTGGAACGAAAAGAACTTAATGAATATATTCCCACGATGTCTATGATACTGTTTTTCTCTATGAATATTCTTGATTATGACAGATGTCAGAGATTTCCTTGTTAACAATCGAAATTCAAATACATCATTAAATTTTGCGTGTTTTTATCTCAAAGAGAGTATCTGATTTATTTTTCCAACGTTCAAAATTAATTCAATTCTATGTCTACTTTATCATAAACAATCTAATTGCTTTTTATTTACGCATGTATATTTGTAAAAAAACTGAATATTTTACCTGAAATTGATTTGATTAGTATGAGAATAATCCACGGTAAACTGAAACTATTCATCGTAGATCTCATCTTATCACTATTTGATCGTAACGACAACTGGTATAATACTGAAAAAGACAAGTTCGATAAATATTGCTTACCAAACTATATTTTATTCCCGAGATGTTGTCGATTCGGCCTTTGCTTGTTTATGAACGAAAGATAAACTGAATTCTTTCATTATTAATTAATAAATCAAATAAAAGATGAATGCAAATAATACGTTCTTTCGGAAAAACTAATTTAATAAAACTTTCTTTGGTAAACTATTTACCAATTCTGAACAACGAACGCTCTTTTTTCCATTCAACATCCAGAATTACATTCATTTTTGAATCAAGTCGATTGACCATCTAACTCTTGATCGACTTAGAAAAACTCAAGTGAACAAGAATCGATGAATATTTTTGGAAAGATTTGATTTAAAAAATTGAGTACATTTACGATTTATCGTGTTAACGAACGACAGAGCGACTATCTTGTCCGATTCTAATAGTTTACTCCATTTTTGAGTACGCAAAAATAGTTTATTGCGTTCTTAGAGAAAGAAATTAGTTGAGTATCGTTATTAGGATAAAATACTGTATTAAATGCATTTTCTATTCGAGTGAAATTAGATAAAAGTATTATTTGGAATAGAACAATATATATATACATATATGAGTAAGTAGGAACGAGGATATAATTTAATTTCTGTTTTACTCTAAGCTTTTCGGGACTGAAGGCAAAACAGCCGGCTTTTGATATTGTTAACCGGAATAGGAACTGTATCGTCGGTGTTGATTTAAAATACAATTTTATCTGGTATTGCTTAACTTTAAACATATGTCCTTTTATTTATACATTAGATAATCTTAATTAACATGAAAATACTTTCATTAAACTTGAATTACATGTCGAAATAAGTTGTTAAAAGTCTACATAATGTCAAAGATATACACATTTATTTATTCTGTTTCTCGCAATAATTAAAAAGTGAATATTTCAGAATGAAATGACATCAGATATGCATAGAATCAAAAATCATTTCCATTACAAAGTTATAAGACTTCCAACTGTAAGCATCAAAGCACAATTCTTTTTACTCCTGATAAATAATTATGGCATACGTTGTTCGTTTTCTCAAGAAAATAGAGGAAACATATTGGAGGAAGTAAATTATTTTATCGGATCGACGTCGTTGCTAAAGTTTTCATCAAAATTACAGGAGTATGATATCCATAGAGGAAGAGAAACAACAATAGAATTACGACTTTGTTTTCTAAGCCCTCAAGCTAATGGAACACATTATGGATTTAGTACTGATATTGTGTTGAAAGTTAGTGAAACTATTCCACGAATGAAACAATACAAGCTGTATTTTGATAATTACTTCACCACACTGCGATTGCAAATTGAATTATGTAAACTGGGAATATATTCAGTGGGCACCGTTCGAATGAATAGGTTGCCTGATTTGATAATGAAGGATGCAAAAACATTACAACAAGAAGGTTATGGTTCTATGGATTATCGAATTGTTCAAATCGACGGTGTTAGTNTACTGTTAAGTCGAATTTATAGATTCCATATTGGAGTGTTCCAAGTGGAATATACAATTCGCTGTATGTTGTAATGATTTGTTCATCTAATTCAATTTGGCTAGAACAGATTGATGTACAACCTGTAACTGTCCATTTTGTTGAGACTGAAAAGGATTGATTACAATTTAAGTCTATGAGTGATATGAAATAAATATCTTGACTTCGTTGTATTTCCAGTGGTGAATTAAGTGATGGTGCTGGCGGACTGATCATAACATTTGGAGAAAAGCAACCTGAAAATGCTACAAATAGTATCCTAGTCCTAGTTGAGAATATTTACTTTGATTTGCAAATAATATTTGAGAAGCTGTTGTTGTTGTTGTTGCTGCTGCTATTGTTGTGGTGGGTATTGCTGTAACTGCTGTTGTGGCAGCTGTTGTTGTTGTTCTTGTTGTTGCTGCTATTGTTGTGGTGGGTATTGCTGCAGGTGTTGTTGCTGTAACTGCTGTTGCTGCAGCTGTTGTTGTTGTTGTTCCTGCAGCTGCAGGTATTGTTGTTGTTGTTGCTATTGTTGTGGTGGGTATTGCTGCAGGTGTTGTTGCTGTAACTGCTGTTGCTGCAGGTGTTGTTGTTGCTGTTCCTGCAGCTGCAGGTATTGTTGCTGTAACTGTTGTTGCTGCAGCTGCAGCTGTTGTTGTTGTTGCTATTGTTGTGGTGGGTATTGCTGCAGGTGTTGTTGCTGTAACTGCTGTTGCTGCAGCTGCAGCTGCAGCTGTTGTTGTTGTTGATGCTATTGTTGTTGCTATTTTTGTTGTGATGTTGGTAGTTACCGTTGATGTAATTGTTGATGCTGTCGTTTGCTTATTTGAGGTGATTTGTGTTATTTTATTTATTGTGCTATCAATTGATGTTCTATACTCTGAAAGAGAATGCTATTCTATTGCTATATCTTAGAATATCTTTACTAACTTGTTTGATATTGTGTCGTAGTTGGATCTGACGTTGTCAAATCTAAAAGTGTTCAAATAGAGTTTATTGTTAATGAAACAATTGAATTCAATAAAAGAGCATCCTGAAGCAGAAAAACGTTTGAAATTACTTACCACATGAATTACTTATTAGGCTAAATTTTTGAATACGACTATTATTTCCGTCGACAACAAACATATTTCCATAAGTATCGAAAGCCATGAATGAAGGTGCATTTAATTTAGTAGGTCCACTACCAGCCTTGCCTGAACATGCTGCGATGCACCGAAACCCATTTGGTCCTGATACAATAACACGATTATCATCGAAATCGACAATATAGAGGTTGTTATCAGCATCTAAGGCAACTGATGTTGGATAAGTAAGTGTCACACTTCCATTTAGTCCTGTTCCAGCTGCTGTTGTTGCATTTAATTTGCCCGCTTGAAAAATTTGAATTCGGGAATTCGCAGAATCTGCCACGTATACATCAAAATTGATATCAACAAAGATTCCATTAGGATAGTTGAGCTCATCCGGCATTGATCCACTTTCGTTGAATTTACCGGCAACAGCAATTGTTGCATTTGAACTGCTACTTAGTGAACATTTAACAATTTGATGAAGTACGTCCATTGCGCAGTAAAGTGTATTATTAATGTCAACAAAGAGACCACTACAGTACGAACTGGTATACATTGCAGGAGCAGTTTTTGTTCCATTTGGCATAAATCTGGCTACTAGACCATTTGGATTACCAGCATCAACCAAAATATCACCTTCATCCGTGATGAAAAGACTCAGTGGTTCGTTTAAATTACCAGATATAGTATTTGAAGGTGTGCTATTTCCTGCGATCCAAACTATGACTTTACCATACTGATAATTAGTCACATAAATTGTGTTATTTTTCGTAATGAAGACCGAAGAAGGCATTGATCCAACGATATTGCTTTGTGCAAAAGTCGTTGCATTACGATTCCATGTTGCATTTGGACAAAATTTCGGTTGATTGTAAGAAACAGCTTTGGAATATAAACGAAAATAATATATTATCAAGTTCTTCAGTACGTTAACAAAATTGAACTTGGAATGAAAAGAACTTAATGAATATATTCCCACGATGTCTATGATACTGTTTTTCTCTATGAATATTCTTGATTATGACAGATGTCAGAGATCGAATGGATAAAATACATTTTAACTCATTCAAAGTATCTTTCCTTGTTAACAATCGAAATTCAAGTACATCATTAAATTTTGCGTGTTTTTATCTCAAAGAGAGTATCTGATTTATTTTCCAACGTTCAAAATCAATTCAATTCTATGTCTACTTTATCATAAACAATCTAATTGCTCTTTATTTACGCATGTATATTTGTAAAAGAAATTGAATATTTTACCTGAAATTGATTTGATTAGTATGAGAATAATCCACGGTAAACTGAAACTATTCATCGTAGATCTCATCTTATCACTATTTGATCGTAACGACAACTGGTATAGTACTGAAAAAGACAAGTTCGATAAATATTCTTTGCCAAACTATATTTTATTCCCGAGGTGTTGTCGATTCGGCCTTTGCTTGTTTATGAACGAAAGATAAACTGAATTCTTTTATTATTAATTAATCAATCAAATAAAAGATGAATGCAAATAACACGTTCTTTCGGAAAAACTTATTTAATAAAACTTTCTTTGGTAAACTATTTACCAATTCTGAACAACGAACGCTCTTTTTTCCGCTCAACATCCAGAATTACATTCAATTTTGAATCAAGTCGATTTACCATCTAACTGTTGATCGACTTAGAGAAAATCAAGTGAACAAGAATCCATGAATATTTTTGGAAAAATTTGATTTAAAAAATTGACTACATTGACGATTTATCGTGTTAACGGACGACAGAGTGGGACCATCTTGCCCAATTCTATTATTGTATCCATTTTTGAGTACGCAAAAATAGTTTATTGCGTTCTTAGAGAAGGAAATTAGTTGAGTATCGATATTAGGGTAAAATACCGTATTAAATGCATTTTCTATTCGAGTGAAATTAGATAAAAGTATTATTTGCAATAGAACAATATATATGTATATATGAGAGTAAGTAGGAACGAGGATATAATTTAATTTCTGTTTTAATCTAAGCTTTTCGGGACTGAAGGCAAAACAGCCCGCTTTTAATACTGCTAACCGGAATCGGAACTGTGTCACCGGTTTTGATTTAAAATACAATTTAATCTGATATTACTTAGCTTTAAACATATGTCCTACCATTTATACGTTAGATAATCTTAATTAACATGAAAATATTTCATTCAACTTGAATTACATATCGAAATAAGTTGTTAAAAGTCTGCATAATATCAAAGATATATATTTTTATTCTGTTTCTCGCAATAATTAAAAAGTGAATGATTCAGAATGAAATGACATCAGTTATACATATAATCGAAATCACCTCCATTACTAAGCTACAAAGTCTTCCAACTGTAAGCATCAAAGCAGAATTTTTTTACTCCTGATAAATAACTATGGTATACGTTGTTCGTTTTCTCAAGAAAATAGAGGAAACATATTGGAGGAAGTAAAATATTTTATCGGATCGACGTCGTTGCTAAAGTTTTCATCAAAATTACAGGAGTATGATATCCATAGAGGAAGAGAAATAACAATAGAATTACGACTTTGTTTTCTACGCCCTCAAGCTAATGGAACACATTATGGATTTAGTACTGATATTGTGTTGAAACTTAGTGAAACTATTCCACGAATGAAACAATACAAGCTGTATTTTGATAATTACTTCACCACACTGCGATTGCAAATTGAATTATGTAAACTGGGAATATATTCAGTGGGCACCGTTCGAATGAATAGGTTGCCTGATTTGATAATGAAGGATGCAAAAACATTACAACAAGAAGGTTATGGTTCTATGGATTATCGAATTGTTCAAATCGACGGTGTTAGTTTATGTGCTACAAGATGGAATGACAACAACGTTGTCAATTGTCTTTCGACATTATATTCGTGTGCACCAACTGATATAGTCAAACGTTGGTCATCTTCAGAGAAAAAACATATTCAAGTTGATCGGCCAAATGTCATCAAAGCTTATAATCAATTTATGGGTGGTGTTGATCTTGTTGATATGTTAGTGTCATTGTACATAATAAATGTTCGATCCAACAAATATTATAACAAAATAATATTTCATTTAATCGATCCATCCATTATTAATGGTTGGTTATTTTATCGTCGTCACTGTACTCAACTAAAATTACCAAAAAAACGAAATTCTTTCATTATTACAATCTCAAATGGCTATCGCTGAAGCTTTACTAAAACCACGTGTACCTCCACCTCCAGCTCAACGAGGAAGACCAGCCATTCGCCATCAATCACAGGAAGTTAATGCAAGTAAACGTCGTCGAACTGAATCATTCTCAACCTTTTGACCCCTTATGGCCAGATGTTGCCAATCAGTAACATCGCAGTATTCAACTATACATCGAAGTTCTCTTTCTAATATCAGTATCTGAATCTTTTTATGAGTCTATAAGAAAACATATGCATTCAATGATTTTCGTCTCTCAGCTCCTTCTATGAGCCGGCCGGAAAGGGTTAAATCACCTGGGAATAAGTTTAAAATGATAAAACTGATGAACAAAGACATCGATTCAGTTCAATAAAATAGGAAAGTTTTGTTCTAATACGTTCGACTAATAAATTTCAGCAGTTGCCAAAGAATAATAACCCCCAGTTACTAGTGCGCTCCCATTCTGTAATACTACTCCCACATGATAACTTCGTCCAATATTCATGTTAGCCGCCATTGTCCAACTATTTGTTGATGGATCATATAATTCACTACTAGTCAAACTAACACTACTATTATATCCACCAGAAACTAATACTTTTCCATTCGATAATATTAATGCCGCGTGACAATATCGGGCAATATTCATATTTCCTGCTAATGTCCAATTATTAGTTGATGGGTCATATAATTCAGTAGTTACACCACCAACATTATTGTCTCCACCAGTAACTAATACTTTCCCATTTAATAATACGGTTGCTGTATGGTAAGATCGTGTGACAATCATATTTCCAGTCAATGTCCAATTACCAGTCGATGGATCATACAATTCAGCACTTTTAGAACTACTACCACCAATAACTAAAACTTTTCCACTTGATAAAACAACTGATTGATGTCGAATTCTTGCAAAAGTCATGTTCGGTGTTACTGTCCAAGTACCTGATGATAGATCATATAACTCAGCACTAGTGATACTAAATCCACCACCCGTAACTAATACTTTTCCATCAGACAATACGGATGCAGCGTGTCCATATCGTTGGTCATGCATATTTCCAGTCAAAGTCCAATTATCAGATGTCACGTCATATAATTCAGCACTATTGAGACCAGCGCCATTATATCCACCAGTAACTAATACTTTTCCATTCGATAATACTGATGCTGTGAGCGCACATCGTGCTATATTCATACTTTTTACTACTGTCCAAATGCATGTTACTGGATTACAGAATTCAACAGTTTTGAAATAAACGCTATCGCTCTGACCGCCAATAACTAATACATTTCCATTTAGTAACAACGATGCTGCATGTTCGTGTCGTGGACCGCTCATATTTCCCACATATGTCCAAACTAAATACAACACAGTAATGAGAAAAACAAACAAATCTCTTCATGAAAAGCGCATAGTTATTCTGATATTTGCGGGTAAGAATGTGAGAGAGAAATGAACCTTCTGACATATCGCACTTTCTTCGAGTGGTATGTGAGAGTTTTTAGTATGCGTTATAATTAGATAGCTTTGCATTTGTCAACAATTCCCAATTCTTATCAATCAAGCACGTCATATACCTCGAGGTGCTTCAGTTGTTGTGGCTGATGTTGTTGTTTCGCTTGTTGTTGTTGTTGTGGCTGATGTTGCTGTTGTTGATGTTGATGTTGATGATGATGTTGTTGTGGCTGATTTTGCTGTTGTTGTTGTTGATGTTGAGGTCGATGTTGTTGAGGATGTTGATATTGAAGTTGTTACTGCTGTGCTTGGTACTGTTGATGCAGTGGTTGGTTCTTTTTTGCGTGAAAAATAAATATCAAAATGGGAGACAAGGGTTCAATAAGGCATAACTACAAATTAGCATTTCTTATTAAGCTAGTGCAAATGTCACTTTTGATCAATGACAAAAGCTTTCCATTTTTCTCTGAAAGTTTTCTATTTCTCATCTTTCACAAATATGTGTGCGAGAACTAAGGGAACAGCATCGCCTAATCACGCCCACCCTTCAGTCCTGACATAGAGCGTAGGTATCCTTCGGATCAAAATAGTTATTTCAGATGACATTGATTTTCAGTTTACTCGCGAAATATCCACGGTCTCATTCTATTCAATGCAGTAAAGTGTAAGGCTTTCTCAGAGTCTGTGGTTAATTTGAGAAAGTATCATTCTAGTTAAAAAACAGAACAGCGAATACCATTTGGAGACAAATGAGATTGATTTTACCATAACCAAAATAGAAATCAATTTGTGCTATTCTGTTTCCATTATGTCAATAAATCTAGTTTGCGATATTTATTATTAATGATCACAACCTCCTTAACTCTTTTTGTATATTTATATTCAGATATCTTTCAAGATGGGACTAAAATTTAGTTCTAAGTAAGTTCTATTGAAAGTCTGATATGACTAGAACAACCATCATTAGACAACCCAAATCGATGCTCGGTAAGTGCATAGCGATCGATAGACGATGTCAGAATCATGCAGATTTTCTATGCTTACGATGAATTCTTTCTTAAGATACAGAACAGTTCTACTAACCTGGCGGCATTCGTGTTCCCGAAATGACTATCATTGTTGTAGCCTTTATATTTGTTTGTAAGTTGTAATTTTGATCCGCGATGTTGTCAAACAGCTGACACTTCGAAATTGCATGTTGAAAAGTGATTGCTTTGCAATGATCCTGTCCCAGACAGTAAGTTTGACATTGTCGGATGTCTAGTGCCGTAGTAATAACGAATGGTAAACAAGTTGAGGTAGCACATTGAAACTCCCGTTCGTCCTTGATTGACATTGTAAAAGACTTTGTATCTTCCATGAGCGATTGTTGGAAACAAACGAACAAAAATAGCATTGTAATTCTCATCCAATGCATAACGGTTGTAGTCAGAATTTAACTTGATGAAAGGAATTGCAGACAGAGTAAAATGAATACAATCTACTACTAATAGATGCCTTTTATATTTCTTCTTTTTCTTTTCTCTTCCCATGTATATTGCGAAGGAAATCATGTCATGGTCCATTCTAGAAATTAGTAAATGAAATTTAAGTGCTGATGTTTTTCAGTAACATTCTGAAAAAGCCGTGTATCCATCAGAGCAATTTTTCCACTCCCAGGTCAACAAATCCGATGCTGGATCCGATCGGATCTTACCGGATCCGACAATCTGACAAAATCCGATCGGATTCCTGGAAACGGAATTGCATTGGAATCCGACTAGAAAAATCCCGTCGGTTGTTGCAAATTTTATGAGCGATCTTTCTAGCTATATTCTATGATGACCCTTAGAAAATCCAGGAAATCCATGTTTCGGATCCGACGAGATTCGACGTGGGATCCGATCGGATCCGAGACCGTCGGAATCCAATGCGATTCCGTCACCAGGATTTCATCGGATCCGTCGAATTCCTGTAGGATCCGATAAAATTGTGTATTGGATCCGATGGGATCCGAGTATGGGATTGTTCGACCTGGGCTGTTGGGAAGATTAGACGAAATTGCAAATACTTTTTTTATTTTTAAATATTAGATTAGAAGTAAATAGAGTAACACAAAGAAGGATGTACTCTTAAAACAAATGCTTCTAACTTCGTCTATTTAATAGTATCCTGCGGGAACATTTTTTTTCTTTCCCATTCCCTATTCTCGTTCCCTAAATTTTTTTCCCATCTCCCATTTCCTTTTTCCCCATTCACTAAATTTTTTTGCTTTGAGTAAATCCATGGGAAACCTACCACAATTACGTCGACCCTCTCAGAATTACCTGAAACTTTCAGAGGTTGTAGAACTCATTGAGCTGATCATTTTGGTATAAAATTATACTAGGTTTCTATTTGTCTAAGTGTAGCTTTGATTCATGCAAGTTAGAACGGCCGGTGCGAAAAATGCGAAATTTTGGACGAATCGTGAACAGTATATGCGCATTTTCTCTTTCATATTACATCCGAAGGTTAACAATATACCCATATTCTGAAAGCTCGTGATCTGCTCTATCGATGTAGGTAGATACAAAATCATTCAGCTCCCTCTAGTAAGGTTACTAGAAGCAAATTAGTAAATAAGCGTATTTTGTGTCCCTTCAACCATAGCTCGACCTTGCCCAATTTGGCTGAGTGGTGACCTAGCAGCTTTTGTAGAGTGTCACTTCCTCTATCTTTTGGCATAGAAGACATTCCGCCCGGTTTCGATTTGGGTTCTTGGCAGAGCTCGAAAGATTTTCGCCGACGTCGCGAGTTCGATTCTACTCGTCATCGGAGATTTTCTCAACGATAATTCAATGAAATGCAAACGCCTTGAAATTCTGAGTGAAGATAAGCAATAAGATTAAGAGAGAATCTCTGTCGGATTTACGGAACTACCGTGCTTTCTTCAATCGATCTTGCAGTAACAACTAGTCAATTCCACCTCTACATTAGTAAATTTTACTTTTTCAGCATTTACTCGCGCTCTAGGCACTTCTAACGTTAACTTGAGAAAATATAATTATTTTAATCGAAACATGATTGCTGCTCTAAAAACGATATCGATTGCAGGGAGCCGTCGATGAGTCGAACAGTGTTGAGAAATGTAACGAGCTTCGGAAAAGTCGTGCCTTAGCACTGAGAAACCGATGAAAACACTAACGAATAAGATTTTTATTAAAATAGCTTGAGTACCATGATTTCAGAAACATCCACAGGCGACAGAGAGGAGTAGCTGCCTAATTCGACTTATAATATAAGTGACCAATTCCCAGCACACTTAGGAATAGAAATAGATTTAGTTTCACTTATACATACATACCCCCCCCCCCCCTGTGAGTTTAGGAATTGAAATAGATTTAGTGTTACTTATACATAGATACCCCCACGCCCGTACTTATATCTATCTCGATTGAGGGTGTCGCGGTGGATGTGGTTCGAGGTGAGGGTGAGGGTGAGGGTATATATGTATAAGTGAAACTAAATCTATTTTTATTCCTAAACTCACAGGGGTGTGGGGGTATGTATGTATAAGGAAAACTGAATCTATTTCTATTCCTATCTAGTCATTTGTTATAAGGGGTATATAGATATGTATTTATATTCGAATTGATACTAGCCTGTCGGGGGTCGACTTATAATATAAGTCGAATTAGGCATCTCATGATAAAAGGATAAACAAATTTGGTAGATAGACACATAGCCTGAAGAAAGTATTCGAAACGCGTCGCTTCTTACAAATCATTTATTATACATTCATTAATATTCAATAAAATTCTCATATACACTAAAACAATTCAAAATCTTCATATAATCCAAAAACAAGTTTGATTCAATTTTCTCTCACATTAAAGCTCTCAAGTTCATTTTTCTTTTCACTTTACTTTACTTATCAAAAATTAGAGAATTCTTCTCTCACTAAAACTTGAACAAAAATTCAAATTTATTTATTTCACTAAAAAAACTAGCTTACCTTTTCATTCATTCATTCATTCATTTATATTTTCCTTAAAAAAAACTAGCGCATCATTATCATATTTTTTCATACAGTTCATTTATCCATTCAGAATTTCTTGAAATCAGTTTTCTTGAAACTCTTCTAAAAACGTTTGCAAAACAATAAAACCATCCAAAAACAATTCAATAAAATAACATATACATACAAAAATATTTTTTCATATTAATCAATATATTTTCTGTTCAGATAAATCTTCTTCATATCATCATTGTTAATTGGCTTTATTTATATACACACCCTCATTCCTCAGGTCGATTAATCTGTCCTTCGATCCTACAGGATCCAACGTCGGATTCGTGCACCTGAGTTTTTCGAATTCAGTTCTATTGCAGCCGTTACTAAAATGTATTTATAAAATCAAGAGTTATCCTCAGCGCCATACCCTTATCGTACATCTTTATTTCAATACTTACCCATACTATTATCCTACATGCTCACCTTCACCCCCAAGATGCGCGTGTTCGTGAACCTATCTACCGAAAGTTTGAATGTTCGTAAGCGTGAGTGATACGGCTTCTTACAAAGTTGGCTGTCCGCATAAATTACTCATACCTCTCTTTATGTCACCCATGAAAATAGGATTTTCGTCGTTAGAATTTTCATCTTTGCTGATGATTCGCTGAGTTTCAATGTAGATGTCAGATTTTTTGTTGAGTCATCTTACACAAACATTGAAAAAAATCATTCTCTTACAGAATGGCAACCGAAAAATACACATCTCAGAATGATTTGATTATTAAATGCCCAAAACTATTGATTTTGAACAGAGCAGAAAGGAAAAAAGAGAGATGAATTATTATTTACACAAGCATAGGTAGAAGAAAAGAAATGTGGCAGTCGGTTAGGGGATTTAGTTGAGATTGGAATATAGAAAAATACAAAAAAATACAATTTAAATCTATATTTTTACCTGTAGAGAGAAAAAAATCGAATTGATAATTGTTTATGCAAGGAAGCAATTATAATTTATTTATCAAAGGGAGGAATCGTTAAGTAATTGTTTTATAAAGAGTATGTTGATTTTTGTATAAAAAGAAGGAAGTGATTTTCGAACAAGTAGACAGATTTTTTTTATGTGTAGGACATTGAAGTTTTTATGAAAATAGAAGAGAGAGAGAAAGAGAGCTAATTATTTTTATATAAAAAGAAGTGATTTTCGAACAAGTAGACAGATTTTTTTTAATGTACCGAATATACGGGACATTGAATTTTATATTGAAAAAGAAATTTTCGTACAAAAAATTGATTTCTCTATGCGTGACATTCGATTTTCTTGCGTTCTATATTAAGAGAAAGATTTACGCTACCTATTTTTTCTTGTTACGGCACATTTGACATTGATTTAAATAAATCTTTGTAGTTTTCTTTTTTAAAAGTTAGTTAGCTGCAACTTTTTATTTGGAGTATAGTTCAAACTACTTCCAAATATTTCAATGTATAAAAATATGTTTGTATGCATATAGAATAGATGTTTCAGAGGCATAAATTATGTGAATGAAAAATAAATTATCTTTCAGCAATTCCTTTAGAAAATAGGCCTTATGTGAAATTTTTTTATTGGCTAACTAGAAATAGAATTTAATAAGTGGTATACCAAGTTACTTAAGATATTTAGAAAAATTTAGTGAAATTTGAAAATATTACGAGCAGAGAAGCGATAGAAATAAGTGATATAAATTAAAAAGAGAAATAAAGCAGCTGAATTTGAGCAATATTGTTTTTTTAGCGCCTCTTGATATCAAAATAAATTTGGAAAAATTTAGACGCAATGATTTTGAGCAGATAGTGAAAAGGTAGAAAGGACAATTCGTCCATGAAGTAGATATTTCCACAAAAAGTTGATAAATCAAATATAAGATAACGAATGAAATAGTTTAATTTAAAAAAGGTTGTCATAAGACTATCGCTGAATCTTCGTTTAGTAGGAGTGAACATCTATTAAGAGAATATAAAATAGAGAAATGATTGTGTCATGTGGATTCCATACATAATAATTTTCATTTCTTTTTTTTTCTATTTTTTCGCACATTCCAATGTCAACTGTAACATAAACACTGCAATCGAGTATTTTGATATCGATTGCCTGTTTCAAATGTCATTTTGGAAATATTTTATTTTGATATCTTTTGTCGTAAACGTTCAAGGTTTGTTAATATTTACTGAATACGTTCATAATCATCCGTACGAATCATTTTATAGGTGAATCAACAAATGCATCTGATTATGTTTGTCCCATACAGAACTCGAGTGTTCAGTTCACATTGTGGTATTCCGCACATTCTGCTTGGCAACCTTCAACCAATTGTTTTTTGTCTCTGTGTATGAATCGTTCAAGTAGCAACACTAGCACTTGTCGTACATCGTCCACACCATGTTTTGATTATCGCACGGCTACCAATACGAGTTATTGTGCTCCAGCGGGTTTATGCTCTCTTCTAGAGTCCTGCAATAGCACCACAGGTACATGTGCGTCCAATAGCTCTATATGTGTTGTGAATTCGTGCTGCACTCCATCGGCAGTGTGTTTACCATTTTTTTGGATCAATATTTGCTCGTCAGACAATGACACAAGTAAGGATATCCGAACATAATGTTCGATAAACTATGAAAATTGTTTTACCTACTCTAGGTACTACAATGACGAGCACAATGACGTCTACAACATCAGCGATCACACAGACATCATCAGGTATTAAGTTAAATCAATAATATCGAATATGAGTAATTGGACTTGGATGAGGGTGAAGAAGAGAAAACGTCAAGAGGGAAAAGCAGATCCTAGTATCCCCACCGTATCCTTTGGATTGTGTGGATTGTGACCGTGTCCTTCGGATTCTGTAGGTTGTCATCGTATCAGGGATAAATGGAATCCGCTTTTTTCCTCCTAGGAAAATGTTTAGTCACATTCTCACATCGCCCAGTGACTTTGGGATGAAAAAAAGTTTTACTCTCAGAAGATTATTCATTTGTAAAACAGCAGTCACTAAATTTTACTCAAAGTTGTTTCAATGACTTACTTTACTTTTCCAGCGTGGCCATGTGCAGCATGGGATCAGAATCCAGTCATCATTACTGGAACCGGGAGTGTTGGAAGTGGTTCCAATCAGTTGAACGAGCCACGTGATGTTGTCATTGACAATTATTTTAATATCTATGTCAGCGATGCATTCAACCACCGAATTCAAAAGTATACAAATAGTAATACAATTGGAATCACGCTGACGAGTGGTGGTGGTAGTGGATCCAGTCGAGTTAATTATCCCACAGGTTTATGGATCGATCAAGATGGAAATCTATATTTAGCCGATTATTTCAACTGCAGAGCAATGAAGTATAATAATATTTCGTTCACATCTTTGTCAATACCTATTGTTGGTCAAGTCGTTGCTGGCGGTAGCTGCGGAAGCGGCTTAAACCAGCTAAAAGATCCTGCTGCTGTGTTAGCTGATGATATGGGCAATGTGTATGTGACAGAAAATGGAAACAATCGTGTGACTCGATGGCCACCTGGTTCCACAAGTGGTACTGTAGTTGCCGGTATTGGAAGTGGTGCTAGTGGGAACAGCACGAACGCCTTATCGTGCCCATTTGGTATCCATCTGGATTCAAATTCCACACTTTATATTGCAGATTCCTGCAATAATCGGGTTCAGAAATGGCTGTCTGGAAGCTCAACTGGGACAACTGTAGCCACTATTGGTTACCCAACTGATGTTTTGGTAGATAGCTATGGCATCATGTATGTATCCAGTGGGGGTAATATATACCGATTTTATCCGAACTCTACGTCTGGTACGATAGTGGCTTCTGTAGCTCGAGGTTTGTCTTTTGGTTTTAAATTTGATGCAATTGGCAATCTTTATGTTACTGAATATTTCACGGGCGTTTTAAAAAAATTCAATCAAGTTAGTACGGCTTGTGGTAAGTTCAAAGTCTTTTACTTTGACAGAGAAGCTTCTCTGATGAGATTCTGTTTTCAATAAGTTTTTATAATTGAACGATCATTTTTCTTCTTGTTGTACTTAATAGTTCCACTCTCATGGTATGGTGTCCAACGTAATGCAGACCTATCAACCCTATCAAATGGGTGGTCTGAATGTTATCGTGATACTTATGCTGTTTCATTAAACGAAAGTATTCTAACATCAATTTTTAACGCCTGTAACAAGGGTCAATTGTTACTAGCTTGTCGAGCTGTGAATAGTAGTTTGCTCACAGTAGCTGCCATGGGATTACGCGCTGATGTACTCTTCAATTGTAGCTCGTCATCATCCTGTACACACGTAGCAAACGGGGTTGGCTGGTATTACTCGAACAATTATTCATGGGGCTTCGTCAATAACAATGATACAGTTTCACGAAACCCATGTGATACGATACAGATGAATCCAAGTTATGGACTCTGTTGGCATACTGGACAATCGTTTGGTGGCGTTCAATGTGGCGCAAATATTTTGTCTCCTTCGAACTATACAAACTTTGAGCGTATCATCTATCATTCATAAATATTTTTGTCACTAAGGGTATGATATGAATATGAGATGCAAAAGAATAGAAGTATAACCGGTTTCGACTTCGCCCAAGGATCCTCATTAAGCAGCTTCATAGATTCTGTTTTTTATTCAGAATATCAATAAAAAAAATAGATCAACTCGTAAGATTAAAATACGAATTAATTTGTTAATCTAAACTCTTGCATTTCAGCATCCCACGCATTGCGAGAAAAGCGGATCCTGTGATATCTGATGGATTTTCATGGGTCCCAATGGTTTCTGTGAACTCTGATGATTGTTGGTAAATCCTGAGGGACAGGGTAAGGGTGAGTTTAACAGACAATTCCAAACTACCCATGTGAAAAAAAAAGCTGACAAAAGTATACTATTTTTTACTAAAAAAAGTAGAATTTGACGGGGCGAAGTACTAAAAAGTGAACCTTTTTTAGTAACTATTATTATACTTCGTTACTTTTTTCAGCAAAAGTACTATTA